AAAAAACTGAAAAAAAACTGATCTACTACATCTGATAATTTATCTCTGCATCCTGCGTATTATGGCTTCTGGCCTGGGACTACAGATGAAAATGATGTTATAGCTATATCTGGTACAATACATGTATTGTGCATTGCCCCTGCTACATAAACAATAAACAAAATTGCTGAAATAATGAAATAAACACACGTTAAAGGATGTCACTATGTCAGGTTTTTTTAAAAAATTTTTTTCCCCCGCTTTCCTTTCACCTGGGGGGGTTTTAGGGAATTTTTTTTGGTAAGTATTACTTAGTAATTAATAGAGTATTACTACTGGCCCTAATAATACACACACACACACACACACACACACACACACACACACACACACACACATAATTTCAGTAACAGTAACAATCCTATCTAATGATAGTTTGCTTACATGCTAAACTCAGATGGTAACAGTGATAAACATTACCTGGTAAACATCAGAAAGTTAACATTGTTGTGTTTGTTTTGCTCATGGCATAGCTTTGCCTCTAACCTCACACAGCCGCTAGCATGGCTGTAGACTCTTTGTGATTTAAACATTTATCTTCACATAGGTTCCTTTATTAGTTCCTTTACAGATTGTTTTTGTGCTGTTTTCGACAAGTTGTTGCATTCACTATAGTCTGTCTATCCACAATATCAATCAAACAAAAGGCATGCATATGCATACATCTGTATCATAATCCTATGCCAGGTATCGTCAACGATAGCAGGTAGACAGTAAAAGGGATTTCCTGGTCAGACTCCAAAGCCTTGTGAAAGCATGCGGGGCTTTACATGGAAGTACTGCGATCAGAGGACTGGAGCTCAATTAGCTACTGTTGTGGGTGGGGGCGGAGGGCAAGCAGAGGTCCAAATCCTCTCTTGCAGGCCCAGCTGGGGGGATTAAGAATGGTTCCTGTCCCGTGGCTGACCTCTTCAAAGCCTGCACAGATGTCCTGATCCCCCTCCACACACCCACCAATATCCAACACACACACACACACACACACGCACACACACACACACTCAAATACCCCTTCTCCCCAAACTCTCTCTTGACCCCACAACCAAAACAAAGCACTCAGGTGACATTTCTTATCACAAGAGCACTCACCCGCTCTTTGAATTGGTATCTCTGGTATCTCATCTCCTCTGCAGTACATCTTTCTTTCTCTTTCGTGGTCCCACTGTCTTGCCTCTGGTCCTGAGAGGGCTCCTGGTATCGGCGGTCCTTTGACACCAAGCATGTCAGATTTCTGAATGACCTTAGCATGGAAATGAGTCTGTCACTCTCAATACTCTGCTGCCCTTTGGTTTTAGTGTGCATTCAAATAGGAAACCAAGGTCAAGAGGCACGGGCAAAGACACTGCATGTAGGATTTTGAATCACACGTCTCAATAAAAATAGGAAATAAACACTTTATATGGAGATTGCTAAGAGGTCCTCTGAGGTTGGTGGTGGCCCTTTAAGGTTGTGACCCTTTTTAGGACTATAAGTCATGTCTTGGTCAAAATAATGGCCACCCAATGGGAGCCTTATTCAAGGCTAAGAAGGGCACGATGGACAATGAATGGATTAAATCACTCTAGGGGGCACAATCCAAGATTACTTTCAATCAGTAAAGACCCTCACAGTATAATCCAAATGTGAGATTAGGTATTTAGATAATTATTTTTGGTATTGGTGCCTTCTTTGGTGGGCTGAGGCTGCATGAGATTTGAGGTAGCATGGGCTCTCAGACACAACACATAATTACTTAGGTTTCTAAAAAGTCAATATCCTAGCCGGGTTCCAGACCTATGGATTCAAATAATGAAAATAATGATGAAGTACAAACAAAATGGCAACTTAGTCTGATTATCCAGCCAGCTCCTTTTTCTGTAACTTTATTATTTAAGTCAAGTAAAAAGAATACATAATGGGGTGTCTACACATGCGAAATAATAACACCAAGGCAAAAAAAAGTTATAAAAAAAGTTTAAAAAAAAGTTATTTTCTACATCAGGTCTCATCAGGATCATTCTACCACACAAAATTTGTGCCTCTTATATATTACTATTACTGCTGCACAATAAAACATTTGTCAGTTCGAATTCATATCTGTCCATGCTGAATAAATGAAATGAAACAAAATGAAAATGTTATTATCAGTTATATTTGTCTAGATTGGGGTTGAACTATATTATTATATATTATATACATTTCCGTACAAAATATTATGTCATATTTTGTGTCATACAAAACCAGCCATTAGAGATATGTCATTTCTGGCTACTTCGACAGAAAATATCATGTTGTAAAATTGTTCTGTGTTAAAGTTTGTTTTTAGTCATTTTAACCCTGCCTTAGGTCTGTTTAAACAGTGAGAGTTAGTCTAACTTAAGAGAGTAGCGTGCTTCCTTATTAAATATCAGTAGTTTTGTTGTACACTGGATAATAATGTTTAATAAACTGCTGAATTTTTGTGGCCTGTTACATGATTTTGAATGGACACCTGCCTACTAATGAGAAACAAGTGTTTTGGCCATGGCCATTGTGTAAAAGCATGTAAATCCTGCTTGGTCAAAATATAGATGATGGGGTCAGAAGCACATGGAGTTGAACAAAGCATTTTTCTGTTTCTTCATCAGAACAAAGATGTAGTGGATGCCGGTATGTTTTGAGACACTGCTATTCTTCGAGACATCTTCTCCATCTTATCAGCCATCAGCTCCTCAACTCTCCTGCTCATCCTCCAATCTGTCCATCTTCAATTTCCACTGTCACTGCTACATTCATCGCCTCTGCTGCTCCATCTCTCCCTCCCCTCCCTCATTACCCCCCACCTCAGCACAAGGCTGTCAGAGTTTTAGGGATCCGGTGAGCTGTGAAATCGCACAAATTGCTGTTGCTTTGCGTCTGGCCCAGCAACAGAGGGGGGAGATAGACAGAGAGACAGAGAAAGAGAAAGAGAGAGAGAGAGATTTTATGCTTCAACACTTCTGAACCTGAATCGCCCCGCTCCCTCGCTGCCCCTTCCTCCCCTTATTCACTCAGACATGGACAAGCACACGCACAGCTGCAAGACTGCATATCTACTACAACCCAAATACCTCCCCCCAGCGCACACACAAACACACACACACACACACACACACACACACACACACACACAGTCAACTTCTTCACCCCCACCATCACCACCACCTCTGAACATGTGACCGCACCACCGCCCTCGCCACCCTCACGGTAGAGACACCTCCACCACTTTGCTTCAGTGTGCGGGTCACTTCACAGAACAACTCGACGAGAGCCTGCAGTCCTCGAGAGGGATAAATCCCCTTCTCAACCTGAGGAGAGCTGTTTCAGCCACCTCTGCTAGAAAGAGCAAAGCCCCCCCCCACCCGCACACTACCCCCAACACACCACACACACCCTGCCCCAAGGAACACCCTCTGAGATATGAGAAAAACTGGCAAAAGGTCACAAACATACATGCTGTCTTTTTTTCTGTTCTCTTGTTTTACAGAAGCTAACAAATAGGCGGCACACTGTCTGGATTCTTGGAAGAACTTCTACTGGACTACATCACATTTCTATAATTTAAAGTTTAATTTATATTTTTATTTTCACAAGTAAATACATTAAATACATAAATACATTCCCAGTATCACACTTCAGACTGTGAAGTGCAGGGAAATCAAACTGAACTTTTCAAAAGGTTAATGATATGAATTTGACTTTAAAGAAGTTACAGCACAGACGTGTGCGGCTCAAAAATTAAACTAAGGACATAACAAAAAGGCAAACTTGAACATTTAATACAAAATGAGATTAAGCAGTTTTGACATTGTTTGCCAGTTGAAATCTATTTGATTAGAATAACTGAAGTTCTTAACTTTACCAAGAATGTCGCTCTTTAGTAAGTCATGGCTTAGTATCCTGTTATTGAAAGCATGGTTTTGAACTGCATTGTGTTCCACAACTCACTTTATGTGCCAAGTAAAGCAAAACTTGGATCTTGGTGACACTCATTCACCAACACAAATAAATACTGAGTCACTTATACAGGGGGAAAAGGACTGATACACAGTGTAAAGTAACTCCAATCTACATGTGCAAGCAGACATTATCAGGATCCCCAAGGCTGTCCAAATACATACTGTAGATGTTTTTGCTTTACACAAAGATAAACCATCTTTAGTGCCCTCCAGTGGAGAAAGTCATCCACTGCACACTGTGATGCTCTGTAGTGCAGCCTCAAAGAAATTATCTTATCTTTTAGAAATTCAAGGTTCAGCCTATTTGGAAATGTATAATATTAGAAGTAAAAAATGTAAAGTTTAGTGAAGTATTCCAAATCTGAACTTGTGATTTATAATATATTAGTTTCTAGAGGAAGAAGGAAAGTATGTCAGATGAGTAACATAACACTGATGACATTTGCGCTCCTGGTACACTTCCGTAAAAAGTGACATGTGTAAGAAGTAGAAAGATACTGTAAAATGGAAAACAACAAGTCAATTCAAGGTTCCAGTATTTTAAGTTATAATACATTATTTATTTTTTATGCAATTTATATGCTCAAGGATATTGTTTCCATTATAAAAGAAAAGGCAATACATTTGTGTGTCACCTTTTTTTTATTATAGAGAGAAGAATTCTACTTCTTTACCTTATTAAATGTAAAAGTTAAGAGAAACATAGAAGGAATCGACCCTAAAATGCAAAGTGTCCAAAGGAAAACTGCTCATTGTGAATAACATGGCTCAATTTCACAGTGTTATTCCTCACACATTTCTGAATGCACATGCAGGTTTTCTCAGTGGTTAACTCGCAGGTGGAGGCCTACGTGCCTCCAAACCATGTGTGTTTGGGTTGCATTGTATTCTGTGCTGCTTTTTCACATTCTACATATGCTGCAACACGAGGGGTTAATTTGTTTTAAACATTATAAAGGTTAACTTTTAACTAGCTACATCCTCTGTATGGAATCAGTTCCTCCATCTGCTTCAGCCCTGAACAAGAGCTTCAGTCAGCAGGACGCTGCATCCTTTGTGATCGACCTTAAACTGTAAGTATTTTAATGATCTAACATAATCATAATGTGGAGACATTTTATTTGCTTTTAGTCGGTATATACTGTTTGTTGTGGATTGCAGGATAATATACTAGAAAGTAGCCTTTTATTAGCATTTATTGTATTTGATTTGTTATAAACATGAGAAATTGAACCTGATACTGGGTACCTGACTGTCAAGAGTCACCGCTTGGAAAAAAGCTGCAGGCATGTGCAGAATGTGGATGTACAAACAGAATAACAAAATATTCAAAACAAACAAACAAACAACCACTGCTAGTCAGTACAAAATGAAAACAATGAATACATGTATATTAGTGTGTGTGAGCTGGTGCATACAGTATCAACCATTAACAGTATAGATAAGGTAAAAACACATTGTAGGCTTTCCAAATGTCATATTACATGGAAATTAATATGGATTAATGCATACAAGTAAACAGTATCACACTCAGCTTCTCACATTTATTACAAAAAATAAATTCCGTGAAAACCGGTTCAGAATAAAGCGAGTTACAGTCGATTGTGTGGCGAAGTCTGCATCTCTCAGTATTGATTACCAGCGGATCTCACCGTCGCAATATGGCGGCCGCGCAGACGCATTAGGCACGGACTCATACAGCAATGTTTCTATAATATTATTCTAACTGTTGTTGTTGACTGTTTATATTCAGTATGTGGTTGCTGTTGAGGCTGAGCTTCCTTTCACTTTTAATGTGTTTCTTGGCAGTGAAAGCAAATAATTAAAATCGAAATGTTATTTGCTCCCAGTCAGAATATAAACTACTGTTTGTTGTGGGGGGGAATGGGGGCTGTGCTAACAATGAGCTACCGAGCTAGACCGTTAATAATTGTACCTGAGGGGACAAAGTGGATTTAAAGTTGGAGCAAACTCAAAATGAATTGCAGGAGATTGTATCAACCAAGCCACATAAACAAATGATTCATATTATGAGAGACTACGATGTGAAAACGAAAGGAGAGATACATAACGGACTTCCCCAGTGTGTGAGTTACTTATATAGGAATTGGTATTTTCTACAGTATATTCCCGTTACTGAAATTAGGTCCTCCCTCCCCCTCTGTGTGTGTGTGTGCGTGTGTGTATTATTAGGGCCAGTAGTAACACTCATATTCTCTTGGGGAACAGGTTTTTTTTTAAAAAATACCATAAGATCTCCCAGGTGTTAGATTATCAAGACAGGTGCCACAAAAGCCCCCTTATTTAAAATTAAATTCATTTCATATAATGTATTGTTATTTCTATTTGGCCCACAGATTTTTAAACTATGTTAAAAGTTTCATCACAGGTTTGTCTTTGACCCCGTTGAGTAATATCCATATCATAATCATTCACTGTTTGACACTCACTTTTTCGAGAAAGCCTAGATACTGTGCATCAGTCCTACTTCCCCCTTGCACAAAACATGCTTCTCTCTTTGTTCATAACATATCTCTCTCTCTCTCTCTCTCTCTCTCTCTCTCTCTCTCCTGCTGAATTGCAGCAGAGCCTCCATCAGTTGGTGCAGAGTGCAAAGATGGCAATTCTGCAACCTCTGCAATTCATGTGGTGCTTCGACAGCATAGATCTCCTATCCTCAAGTGAACTGTGGACTTGCATGCCAGTAAAGTCACAAACCCTGTGATGAAATAGTTTGGGGAAGTATAAGAAGAGAACTGCAAAAATAAAACAACAAAGGTAGATTATCTCTCACACAACTTAAATGTCACAATTTGTCATCATCTATAACCTTTATCTTACCTTTTGCTTTAATATTGATTTCATTATGCACTTAACTTTGCACACAAGTGACGCCTGTATGTGCTTAGCTTTTACCAAAGCACACCTTAACCTATTAATAGTAGTAATAATAGAACATTTTAATCATTACAAAACAGGTAAATGTTGTCAGCAATAATATGGCTAAATAGGATCAATGATCAGAACCTTTATCCTATTAAATATCTATATAATAAACATTGTCACTGACATTAAAATGTGACACATTTAACAATCTCTTTCAATGTGAAACTTATCTGATCAAAATGAAGTGAGCACTATAAATGTCCCCTCTGATAGAGATATAAAACACAACTCTCCATACAGTTATCAAAATGACATTCTGGTGTCTGAGTGATAAAATGCTGTAGAAGACAAACTGTCTTTTTCAGAATTAAATCACAAGTTCACACCTACATTTCATTTCGTGGAAATAAAACAGAAAATAAAATAACAAGTCAAATTTGTCACCTAAGAGATGACCAAATTATATGTTGATTGTATTATGTATTATTTTATTTAATTATATATTAATATGACACTGTAACAACATTGGAAAAGCTATTTCCACCTCATTTCCCACACCACTACATTACAGCTGCAGTTTCTCTTTCTGACTCCATTTTTACAAACCAACCTGGTTTCTCCCGTGCACTGAATATGGCCAAAGGTTTTGCACATCTGCATATTCTCACACAGAGAATGAATCAACACAACAGAAACAAACGCTCCTCTCGGAAACAAGAGTGAGACTACTGTGACCAGAAGACTCAGTGCACTCAATGTCTGCACTTTGTGCACAGTGGTCACAAACAATGCTTTTCTTTACTGTATATGGTAGATGTGATGAAAGTAAAAATAAATAACTGTGTTAAAAGAAGTAGATTAAGTTAAGTAAATGTATTTTCAGTCTAGTCTATAGTTGGCAGAAGAGAAACAAAATACTTGAGAAGGTCAGCTGCTGCAGGTTTATGTTAAACCTTATCTACAGTGACCTCTAGTGGCATTATAAGTGTTTGTACAGGACAGAGCAGCTGCATTTTGTCCACTGGCTGTATGCTGTCAGCCATAATGTAGCCCCATACACAACAAACTGCGATGCACTGTGAGTTCTGACACCTTTCTATCAGAACCAGCATTCACTTTTTTTTTTAGTAGTTTGAGCTACAGTAGCTTGTCTGTTGGATCAGACCACAGCCTTCTGCTCCCCATGTGCATCAGTGAGCCTTGGCCACCCATGACCCTGTCTCCGGTTCACCGCTTTTCCTTCCTTGGACCCCTTTTGATGTTACTGACCACTGCAGACTGGTAACACCCCACAAGAGCTGCAGTTTTGGAGATGCTCTGACCCAACCGTCTAGCCATCACAATTTGTCCCTTGTCAAAGTCCCTCAAATCCTCACACTGCCCATTTTCATCAACTCTGAGGACAAAATGTTCACTTGCTGCCTAATGTACCCCACCCACTGATAGGCGCCATGATAATGAGATAATCAGTGTTATTCACATCACCAGTCAGTGCTCATAATGTTATGGGTGATCGGTCTATAATGACAGAGCAACAGCCAACAGACGCAGCTGCATCAGCATCTTACAAGGTAATGCAATACTATAGTATTACATTCATTTATACTCAATCCTTATGGGGAAATGTATCTCCTCCTTTAACTATCAGCTGAAGTACAGCAGGACTGCAACTGCCAATAATCTGCAGATTATTTTAATTAATCAATTCATTATTGAAACAATGAAAAAAGGTTAAACAAATCAACAAATGTCTTGTTTTCTCCAAGCAACAGTCCAAAAAAACAAACATATTTTATTTAATATAATATGACAAGGAAAAGCTGTCAGTTCTTCCTTTGAGAAGCTGCAACTGTCAAATGTTTGACATTGTTGCTTGTAAAGCAACTCACAGTAAACAATTATCAAAATAGTTACCAATTAATTGGTCACAAAGGATATATCGTCCAGCCCTTGCTTTGTTCATATACCACTAAACTAGTCCAGGTGCTGAAGTTCTGTGTGATTTTTGTGTGATAGAACGACATTTAGCTTTGACTAATAGCGGTACAATGACATTAAAAGAGATGCGTCTGCACACCTACTTGGGGATTTGAATACCACAAAGGCCCACCCATTATATATATTAAAAAAAACTGTTGTTTTATTGTAATATAATTTAGATGGCGCATAATATACACATGCATCATGATTCTTATGGTTCAACTCGTCCACAGTGCTCTGAGTTAATAATATTTAGAGATAATTAAAAATTAACTCTGAGGGGCTCCACAGTAGCACTATGACTCATTTAGCTTCAAGCAAGACGCATTCTGTTGGAAACTACTGAAAACCCCTGATAAATTGTTATTGTAGACATGTAGGTGTATGATAAGGGTCTTTTGAAAAGTATCAAAAACCATCTGTGGTGTCAATGTGTAGAATCATCTCGGTACTGAAACATGTACTAGGCAAGTTTTGAGTAAATGTTAAAAATGATATGAGCAAGGAGGTGTTTTGTAAGAATTAATACATTTTGTGACAGTATAACACACATTTGCGGAACAAGCTCAAAGTTAATAAATATCTCTGTATATTTCTGTCCTGTCAGTAGAATCTATTATTATTTGTCTTCCTTCATTTACGTGTCAAAAGAATAATGACGATGTTAGAATTAGAAAGATAATTTTCAGTTTCCTGTTGCCTTTTTTTTCTCTAGGTAACAATTTTATATTCATAGCAGCAGTGTGGATGTGGTGGGAAGGCACCACACAGACACCACTCAAAGGGTTTGAAACCACATCCTTAGTCACGCCACTGATGATGATGACGCTTTCGCGCTGAACATGTCATGAACATTGTTCCACTCAACAGTCTCACACAGGCATCAGCGCGTTGGGGACTCTGTTAGCTCGTTGACTGATCAAGTGGCTGCATTTTGAATTTAAAAAAGGTAAGACGCTACATGAGAACAGAAAATGTTGATGAATGATGTTCTTTTTTTGAGCTGGTTTGAGAGAATCTGTCAATTAATTACTTTTTAATTCTGGCACGTAAGTGTGTGGAAGCTCTTTTATAAATGTATGTATTTATTGGTGGTAAAGCTAATGATGTTGTTTACCACATCAGAAATGGAACATGTGTGTCTTTGATAACTAAATAACCGTTGTTCTAACACAGTTTAGCGTCAAATCCCACAGGAAGGCTTAATCTTGTTTTTGGTTCTTTAAATACTTTTTCTTCTTTTCTTTTTTACCACAAAAAACGATTATATCTATATTTAGTTTCAGGTGCTGTGTTTCCTCCTGTCTACCCAGTGGCTGATAATAGTGGGTTGTCCCCATGGCTCTGAAGCCTGCATTCTTATTGTTGCTGTGGGGCCTCACTTTGTTTGTTCACGATGGTAAGTTGGCTAATCTATCTTGTCTGATCAATAGCTTTCACTTGTACTGGTATGAAGTGAATGATGAATGATAGAGAAAGGTAATTCCCGCTTAATGTACTCTATTTAATATTTAGCTGACTATTTCACTTATGTACATCGTTGTGTCTAAGTTTCTTTTGAAAATATTTTTTTTATTTCAGTGTGATTTTCTTGGTAAACAAAAAATGTAAAGGGTTAGATGTTCATAGAGCATGAATATAAAATGTATTGCAACCTTGTATATCTGACAGCACTTCTCTTTTGTGCTGCAGTCACACCTTTTTGCAATGTCATCTGCTCGACGGACTACAATGTTTCACTGAACTGTTCTTGCTCAGGCTCTGTGCCGACATATCCTGTCTCCATCAAAGTGACATGCAGGTACAACTTGTCTGTTAATGTTAAGTGGGACTGTTAATGAATATGCTTTATGTTGGTGCATTACACAATACATGACTTCATCATACCACTAACTTAAATTCAAATGGTAGCCTGGGAGCTTGCTGTTGATTTTAACCTCTAAATAATAGTGACAAGGATCACCAATTAGGGTAATTCTTAGGAATTATGATAATAATGACAGTAATATTAGCAAGATCCTATGTCGTTACTTGTGATTGACTTGTGAGCAACTTATGGGTAACTCTTGCGTCATAGCAGTTGCTTTGGAACAACTCTAATGGTCTGATCTAATGGAAACACTTGCTGATTAGATATTTAACTCACTGCACTTTATTGCACCTTTGCCAAAATGTTTTCAATATTAACATCCTTCACTGATCCGATAATGTGAGATTTCATTTTTTATTGTCATACATGTAAGCAGTAGAGCCCAACTGATGCGATATCGATGTTTGATTTCTAACAATGGGCTACATTATGTTCTGTTAATTGTTTTTTTAACATAAAAGTATCACATCAACAAATATATTTTTTGGGTTTTGAACCGCTACTCAGAATAACAACCAGTTTGAATACATCACCTTGGGTTGTGGGGAATGTCGTTTGTTCACTATTGACTATTATTTATTTTTTGACAGAAGAATAATTCAATTAATTGAGAAAACAGTTGGTAGATTAATCAATCATGAAAAAACATCCTTAGTTGCAGCTAGTTAAGTTATTGCCCGGGCTCTAATAAGAAACTATTAGCAGCTGAATACAAGGAAAGAGACTTAAGTGACACACCAACAGGAAGCATTACCGTCATATAATTCTTTGTATGAAACAAGTAGGCAGGTAAACAACTCGAGGCTTTGCTTACGTCTCTCCAATGAATTTTTGCTCTAAATAGACCTGAATGATGTGAATTTAAGCTTTTTATATACCTGCACTGCAGTTCTGCTTTAAATCAATCTCATACTACAAAACTACAACTTTTAGTGCTTAGATGTTGACTGATGTCACAGAGCATTACTGATTAAAACACACTGTTTATCTGTTGTAGAGATGAAGACCTTGTGGTTACTGGCAGCTGTGAAGTCAAGCCTCCTCAATCCTGGTGCGTCATGTATCCAGAAGACCTTTATATGATTGCAGGCTTTGGAACCAGGTGTACTTCATCAGCCAGTCAAGGTGATCAAGTGATAATGAATACCAATGAGTCATCTAGTTGGGCCCTGACTGATGTTGGTAAGTCATGTGACTTGACATTTCAGTATTTTTTATTTCTGCTGAACAGACATTAGGATAACACAGAAATGAACAAGGCAGTTACATCACATATGACATGCTTAGTGGCAAAATATGTGGGTGGAAGATGTTTAAAGAAAGAAATTAAAGAAAGTTTGTTGTTGATTTCTCTTCATTCTTCCAGTATTTTGTTTTTCACATTTTAGACATGTTCCTTCTTGTTGAATATAGCCGCCTCTTACCAATAGTCTAAATGAGTTACTATAAACAATTTTCTGTTAAGTTCAGAAAACCCAGAGATGACAAGAATAATACTGGCAACTTTCCCAACATACCCAGTTGTCGTTTGGCACCCACCCACCTGCTTTACCCTTCAGATTAAGAAAAAAAGATAAAAACGATGTTCAACTGTCAGTTGTGGTGAATTTTTGGCATACACACATTTTCAATTTCATAATATTCCCCATGTCCCCTTGGGACTTTACTTTCACAGTGAAACCTCTGCCCCCTTTCGATGTTCAAGTGACAAACACTCTTGAGTTCTACAACATCACTTGGGACCACAACAACAAAGAAGACTGTCTCACATACACAGTGCGCTTAAGAGAAAGCAAAGACTTGTCGAAGGTAATATGGGAGCAAGAACACCAAAATAAAAACTGAAAATGGACTTGAGCTGTTGCAGTATATTACCGTCTCTAGTGATGACTCCCATGCAAAGCTGTTTTGTTTTTTATTCCTTTCTTACAGGATCCAGTTGACTCTTTTTCAATGATAGAAGAGAAGTACATTCTGTTAGACCATAAGAAGCTGCAACCACATGTCAACTATACTGTGGATGTTAAGGCCAGAATGTGTCCTGGGGTTCTCTATGAAGGTCCATGGAGCGAGTGGAGTTCCACTGAACAATGGAGGACTACAGGTACTTAATCAGAGATTGAAGGTAGAAGAGCATTGTACCTTCCAGCCCGAAACCAGGATGTAATCAGCTTTTGTCTCATGCTGAATCAAGTGTGTCTTTCTGCACTGATCCATGTTTCAGAAACAGGAAGTGTGAAGTTTGTTTATCGTAGAAGTTTAGCCAGTACATATTTTATATATTATGTCTCTTTTACAGGAACTGATGAATATTGGTGGTACTTCCTCCTGCCCATCGTTCTTGTCCCTGTTCTCCTGTTGCTGTGTTTTTCACAAAAACCGTGAGTACTGTAAACACTGGAGTTACTTTCATTTTTTACAAGTTTGAGAATTTACCTCCATTCCTTTTTTAAAGCATGTGTGGCTCCAGTGGGATCAGCTTGAACCTTGCTGCTGTTGGTGCTGAGTTGCTAGCTGAACCTAAAATTATCCCTGGTCCACATTTCTATAATTACCAAAATATGGCGGGGTTTGCCACCTTATACCATTTACCACACAACTTCAACTCATCTGTCGATGTTCCAAAAAAAAAAGAATATATTTGGACTGAACCAACAATTACTATAGACTATAGACATGAATTATGCTAACCCGTTTGAATTTACACATAACTGAATCTGCATCCACTGCACAGAAAAATGACTTAGCAAAGTGAAAGCAGATTTAGTCTTAAGGTCAGCATCACATTGTTTTCCAGTAAGTGATTAACAAAGCTTCAATCTACACTTTCCTGGCATCACCTCCCACATATAGAGAAACCACTGCTGTGCTGTACGTGCAGCGACACATTGCACTGAAATGGCTAGCAGACATAGGAAGTCATGCAAAGCATCAGTGTCAGACAACCGAGAGCACCTCACTTATTAAGAGCACAGAGTTACAAGGGGGAAAAAAAGACAAGCTTGGAAAAGTAAATGTACTTGAACTTGAATTAAGTATTTCTGTTTGTGTCTATCCAGTTTAGGCAATATAAGATGACATCATCTGTGAGCTATAATGATTTCAACTTTGGTTTTGGTTCAACGAGCTTCTTACATAAGCTCTTTGCAATGAATCTCATTAGTAGTAGTCTGCATATGCTGCACAGACATCTGTAGGTAGCTACACGGAGTTAAACTAATCCTTTCGTCATGAAGGTTATAATGGTGTGTCAACTTTATGATCGTTTTGGAGGCTGCAGTTTGTAGTGCTGTGGAATTTTATTGTGTTATTGCAGGTGTATCTCAAAGACTATATATAGATTGTAAACAGACAGAACAGTATTATACACAGCACCTATTATTTTTGCTGGCAAACTAAAATTCCCCCTGCTGTTTTTACAACACTAGCCACCTTGCTGTTGTTTGCCATGGTCAGGTTACCATAAAAATATAATTATTATCATTGACATACAGTTTTTCAGGTTAATTTGATTTACCCCCAAATCCTTTTCCTTATATAAAATGGTCCCTGATTAGCATCCTTCAAGTTCACATCAACATTGTTTTAGACTGCACTAGTTTTAGCTAGTTGTACCTTATAAACCTAATAAACTGAGTGTATATTTCTGACTCAAAACTCTCTTGCCAGTATAGAAAAATGAGTGCAAACTAACACTGCGAATTAGGAAATAATTGCCACAAGGGGGGCATGACGTGGACAGTTTTGACCTCAGTCAAGTGTTTTAGATATATATACGCAAGATTTACACAATGTGATGTGATGTGACAGCTGATTAATTTAAGAACATTCTGTTAAAGCTATTTACAGTAAAGTGTGTGTTAATGTAAAAGAGATTAACACACTGTACCTCTTAATAAGGTATACCTTTCCTATTCTGAGTCAACACTAAGATTAGACTTTGACTCACAACTTCATCTTTGCACTTATAATAATTCACATGAATAACATTTTGTGCAGCACCATTGGTTTTGAGGTAGAAAGCTGTTGCCTTTTGGTCACGACTCTACTTCTGCTCGAAGTCACGTACTGAAAACGAAATCACTTAATTAATCTTGACACAGCACAGTTGAATTATACATTTTTATAAATCAAAGTTATTTTTCTAAAATAATTTCACATTTGTTTCAGGTATTGGCAGAAAAAACTCCAGGTTATCACATACGTCCCCACACCAAATGAGTTTTTCAAGCCCCTCTACCACAACTATGGAGGGAACTTCAAGGTAAGAGAAAGCAAAACACCCTCCACTTATTGGGTTTGTGTGTAATTTCCAAATTGGCCCACCAGGTGTTGCCCAAGAGGGGACTTTCAGCACATCTGTACCCTGTTTGATGGGACTTTCCCTCAACCTAACATTTAAGGGCCTTCATGCTATAAATGACTCAGTGCGCAGGGGCTTCAAGAGGCTTTTGTTTTTCATATGTCTGACATGCTGTGGGTAGATATTTGTCTATGACAGCCCAACCTGTTCCACCCCAGTGGAAAATAACCCTGGTACATCTATTTCAGATCTTTGATGTGTCATTTTGTCAGGCTTTTGTTTTTTTCACCTTATAGGAGCACAAAGTGAGAATTATGTGGTCTACATTTTTTAATCTCTTACTGATGTTTCTGTGATTATCTTTTCCATAACCTTTTTATATTTTCCCCTAATGTAAATTATTATTTCTGTCTCTTGACACCCAGAGATAAGCAGAAATATACTCCCTCTAATATATAAAAGAACCAAAAGAAACCTGAAACCCGTCTAAATATCTAGAATTACCTAAAGAATTGGATGCTACACAATAATGCTAAAGTCAACAAACTTTAAAATGACTGTGCATCTGTTTGTCATTTGTCCAATAAATAACTGCTGTTTCAGAACAAAACAAAACTTCTTTTCACCATCTTCAGCCATAGATTTGAATGTTGTAGGCTTATATGCTTTATCACTATAATATCAGTATTGTCAGGAGTGTAGATATTCTCTGGTAATAAATCAATAATCAATTACAACATCATCATATTAACTGCATTGGGGTATTCTGCCAAAAAATATTGTGATATTTGATTTTGTCAGTTGCTCCTTGTGTGAAGTTACAAAGGTTGGTCAGCAGAGTGCGCTAATGCAGCACATAACAAGAGCGGAAGTACGAGAGAGAATGTGACACTGAAGAAGTTCTTTATTTAGCACTGCTTTGTTGTACTCTCTTCACTATGCTAAAGGTGCTAAACTTGGCCAAAACAGAAACATTAAACAAATATACATTTAAAATACTTTGTCTCTCGAGGGGTGAGTTAAGCCTCTTTACAAATACAAAATAAGTAAATATAATATGTTGACAATAATATACAATCTACTCCAAAGGAGTTACGTTTAGGTAGATGGTGAACATGCTGCTGAGCCTCTGTCTGCAATAGCATCTGTATTTTCACAAAATCTCTGTCATAATACAGTTTGCTTGTGTTGATGGCAGATTGAGATTTATTCGGAAATACTCCACAACTGAATTTACATTAAATTTGCCACCAGTCCCCCATTATAGAGTTATTTTTATGAAAGAAGTTCACGCATACTTTATATTTAGTTTCATATTTACGTTCTTATACACAGTATGTGGATATTTCACATTACATTCATAAAACATATTTTAATTTCATATCATAATTCACATGTATGCAACAGCATCCTAGATATTGTTTAGTAGTAGGTGAAAGCGTGAGAGTTGAACAAGATGTCTGTAGTGTTAAGAGCTTTTTGACAGTCTTCAAAGAGAGTTCCTCTGCTATTTTATTTTTTGTACATCACATCTTTAGGATTCTAGTCTGAGTGTGCTATCTTACTTTTGTGGTGCAGACTGTTTGCATTTTCTGAGCGTATCTGAGTAGTCAATGTGCCTCTGTACCGCAGGATGTGGTGACCTTTGCATAAAGAAACTGATTCATGCTTATCTTGCTGAAGTCTATAGAAACTGCAGAAGCTTTATATTTTAGTAACATGGTTTGATGAAGCCGTGTAAATTTAATACTTTAAAAAGTGCATCAAAGTAAAACTCTGAATTACTCAATACCTACAGATATATTTCTTAATTAAGCACATAATATAAAAATGGGCTCCATTCATTATGTTGTATCAACTCATTCATGTGCGTCATTTGCTTTCTTGACTAGAATTAGATGGAAAGATAAATGCCTTCAAAAGTGAGTCTACAGCCAGCAGCTGCTTAGCTTATCTTAGAAAGCAGGAGGACACAGCTAGTCTAATCACTTCTAAATCTCACAAATTAACACGTTTCTTCTTAATCCATACTTAAACAGAAGTGTAAAAGTGGCAAGGAGTTGTATGCATCATATGTATATATATATATATATATATATATATATATGAGAGTGGTTTCAATCTTTTTACCGGACTCTCGGCAAGAAAGTAAATAAGCAGCTATTTCTTTGTACATGCATATGCCAGTGTTATGTATTTAGGCCAGTACTCCAAATTAATGTCTTCCATTTTCTGCGTTGTAGGAGTGGGTGAAGCCTGCATTCAGTGAGTATGATTACCTAAGGATCAACCCACAAGTTCAGATGAAAAGTGAGAAGCAGCACGATGTCCTCCAATGGAACAATGAGAAACAAAGCTGCAAGGAGGACAGTGAGATGAAACAAGATGGCAATTTCCTCCATATGCTGCAGCCTCACAGCAACTCGTTGGTGTTCTTTCAGGATGGTGGCAGTTCACAGGGCACCAGTCACTCCACCGGACATATCTCTATCCATACTGTGACCCTGTCTGGAGAAGAAGAGTTTGAGGAGGAAGTCGTGTCACAGAGCTCTGTTAACACCCTCAGAGGTTACCAAGATGGAGAAAGCTTTGGTTCATTTGGAGAAGACAACAGAGAACATGCTGGCTATGATTTACAGGAACCTCAGATGTCCAGGTTGGATAGACAAAGTGGGGTATTACCACATCATGAAAACCAAATATCTATTGACTTATCAGTGGAAAATATAAACTTTCAGCCACGTGTCCAGCTTAATGAACCAGAGAGGGTATCTCTTGACTCATTCGTCTCAAACGAGCAGTCGGAAGATGGGTATCCTCATGTAGACTTGGACACCATTGACAGTGGTTTTGGAGAGTGCAGCAGCCCAGGAGCCTCAGACTCAAACATAGCAGAGCAGATAGACTCTGATTTATTTTGTGAGCACAGAAGCTCAAATTCTAACTATGTAAAGCAGTGGATGGTATGTAGCACTATTCAAGAAGACTCCAGCTCTTCAGAGAACGAACTTCACGAAACACAGTGATTATTATTGCTGATTTACTGCCACATCTGCATGTTGTAGTGCTATGGGACATATTTAACTGATGGACATTATTGTGGACATTTCAAGAAAACAGACTTTAATTAAAAGTAAACTGGAAGTCCTCAGCATACAATCCTGTACGTTCTTTTCACCTTGAATTGTTTTAGTTGTGCACTTTCTACTGTGTATATAGTCATGTTTCTTTGTTTTTAAAACACTTGTCATTGTGTTATTGGCTTTTTCTTTCTTTAAATTTACTAATAGATCATAATGAAGTCTAAGTATGTTTCACAGTGTATACAGCTTCATATTGTCATGGTCATGCATGCTTCATTAGCTTGTACTGCAGCACCAGCAAGCAAGCGGCCTTATCAACATCTGATAATGTTTGTTTTCCTTGTACATGCATTTTGTCAGAAACCACTGCAACCTCCATCCTGTTTTTTGCAATGTCAGTAAAAAGAGCAAACTTGGAGAAAATGCAATCTGTAAACAGAGATGATTATTTCTGTGGCCTTGACCTAATTCTTCGGAGGGAAGTGGAGAAACATCCCAGACTAGCTTTGACAATCTATTCTTTCACCTCGAGTTATATAGAGAATATATGCAGAGTAAATTTGTTATCCTTTGACAAATGGCATGTTTCACATTTACACAGTTACTGTACTTGATGGGTTTTGCTTTTCTGAGCCAATGTTGCGTATTTTTCCTGCCCCAAGCAAATGTATTTATGATATAAAATCAGGATATTTGAAGATGTTTGAAGGTACATATTTGGTGAACATCATTGATTGATCATATATAGTGTGTCTGATGGTGGATTTTCCCTACTGAAAGGGCTCCTGGTGGTAGCTGTAGTGGGAGGGAGAAGTCCGGTTAATTTACTTTCCAGATCAAGAGTTTCCCTGAAAGCTGAGGGTCCCGCAGTATTTGTTTTTAAAGTCTTTTTCTTCCCAATACACCTACCGGTACCTGTTTTCCATAAGCTTCTGACGCAATGAATGATTTTTCACCAAATAAATAAAATCTACATTCACATAGAGTGCAGTCTGTAAGTACAGAATGTTGATGTTTTTCATCAATGACCCTTTAATGGAGCGAAGCTTGCGAGCTAGTTCAGGCAGGTCAACTCGAGCAGCGCTGATTACACACATGACATGCCTTATTCCATAATCCCTAACCAAGCGCTCCCTCCCAATCTGGCGGTCTATTTAAACTGCACAATTTCCCAGGTCTCCCTCTGCTCTCTCAGTGCCGCTGTTGCCTTGCATCCATATTATTGCTGCTGCTGCTGCTGCTGCTGCATAACCTATTGCTTCCTGTTGCACTGTAAGCCCCACCACCACCCCAGCATCCACCTGTAGGCTCCGACTGGGAGCCTACAGAGGTATTTGCGCATCACTCCCCAATATCTCATGTGAACATATCTGCGGGGAGTGATGAGGTCGGAGCCTAGACGCCAAAATGTAATATGCTATACTGTTTAATAAACATTCCACGTGAGTTGGCTGACTGAAATGCTAGTTCTGATAGAAAGGTGTCAGAACTCACAGTGCATCACAGTTTGTTGTCTATGGGGCTGCATACCATTATGACCACCAAGGTGCCCAGGTGGTGTTATGGCTGATCGGTGTAAATAAAAGACAAGCACAGAATCTTCTTGATTATTAAAAAGGAGATTGTTGTGAGACCATCAGTACAGGTCACCTGAGTTCTATCAGATAAATATGCATTAAAATATGTGTTTGTCCATTCTGGGCTACAAGGCAGTTCAACATAGATCAAAACTGCAAAAGAATATTATATAATAATAATAATATATATTTCTTTTTGTGATCAAACTTTTATTTTGTTTTATAAGTTCAGGTAGTTTACATCAAACATCCACAGCGCTACCCTTCAATTCCAGTTTCATCATACATGGTTTAAGAAAACACAACAGAAAAAAGAATTAAGAAAATTCATTCATATTCTTTCTTGTTCCGATAATATTTTTGGACTTATATTGTCTTTCAGGGTTATTTAAAGTCTTTCAGAGTTCATGACTGTATAAAGTAGAATGAAGGTTTTCAGGTTGCAGTCTGGGAATTAAGAGTGGTGGTCTCTTTAACAAAGTCAGACATCATTAAAATCAGAAGATATATTGCGTTCCCAAACTATAGCAAACACAACGGAAGCTGACACTTTAATTGTTCGTCAGTGCAAGTTAACCTGGAACGAACCTAAATTAGTGTCTCTGCCCAGAAGGAGATGGTTTTACTGTTGGGAAAATGTATTTTGGCAACTGAGGGCTCCATATTAATTACTTTAAGGTAAATATTAAACCAAAGTGACATATTAAGCATGTGTGGTGTTTGCCAGCAAAGGGCCAACATCTTTTTTTGCAGCAGTCAGACCAGCTGACATTATACTTCTTTGTAAGTATGTCATCGTTAGAGATGACACGTCTTTTAGAAGTACAATAATAGGAGAATGAGGTACATCAACTTTTTGTATCTGTGACAAAGAAAGACCAACTTGTCTCCAAAACTGGGCAAATTTTCTGCAGTCCCAAAAGGGGCATAAGTGAGACAACTTGACCTTCTGAGCAGAGGTGCCATGACAGAAAATGAATTGTCACCCTTGGTGGCAAGCAAGATGTTATTGTTAATGGGGCCCAGAGTTTTCTAAACAAGGAAATTAAGTTAAGTTCAATATATGTGCATTTTATATATGTTTACATGTACATACAGAATGTATATGTACATTTCATGATTATATATATGTAATACACAGTATACTGGCTGATTATATATTAGGTCAGTTATTTGTACAGTAATGTCAGTCCAGTGGTTATTGTGGAGAAACCAAGGCAAATTCCTTGTATGTGAAAACTTACTTGGCAATTTTTTGATTCTGATTCTGAATGGTTTGATGAGTATTCAAATTATGTGAATCATATGCTGTGCACTTCAGAGTCACCAGACCTGAACACCTACTGTACATGGACAGTGTTCTTCATCAAAACACCAAATTAGGAAATACCTTAATGTTCTCTCCCTTAAGAACAGGAAGCCTGGCAATTTTGGGCTTGTTTAGAAAAATAAATGTTTAATTGACAAAGTTGGTTCAACCAAGCCACAATTAAAACATAAAAATGATTCAAATCCAAAAAGAATATAACCCACAATGACATGAAAAGACACCCATTTAAGTTTTATTACCAGAAAGACAATACTACACTACCAAATGCAAAGAAAAAGAATTATCTACATTGTTTCACAGGCACATTGAAGAAAGCAAAAGCACGTGCCAAAGACCCAAAAAAAATTGTAAAAGAAAAAAAAATAAAACTGTGACGTCAAAAAGGGGTTGGCTTCCTGTGAAGCAGTGATAAGTAAAACCTCATTTCCAAATCTCTTTCACTCTATGAGAGATCAACAGCATCAGAACAGTCTGTGAGGTAATGGCATTTTTCCATCCACTACACATCATAGCACATATGACAACTGTTTATTTTCTTGTCTTCTTTAATAATAATAATTAAAATAAAACTTTAGGTTTAACAGTACATTTGTGAATTTGTCATATTCATATCACAGGTGAATGTTACAGAAAGATACAGTTCTCTGAATATTGGTGTATACTGGACTGATATATATATATATATGAAAAGACATTCAAGAAAGAGACTATAACACAAAATATTTGTATTCATATCCACAGGGCAATACTCCTATCCATAGAGATATGAAGTGTCTGCAGCTCCTGTTCCTGTGTTGGTGCTCTAGCATCCTGGCGGTGACCACCTGTGTCAGAGGTACTTCTCACTTGTCTAGACACATGCTTTGCTCTGAACTTATTCTGTAGGAGATGCTTAAGTAAGGCAGCTTGTGGCATAGGTCATCATGTGGCCTATATGTACATGATTAAAATCTCTTCTTTGTATGATTAATTGTGTACAGATTACTTTACTGTCATACATTCCAGTCATCAACCACAGTAGGATGTTCAAGGGAAGTTATAGAAATGTCAAGTAGTAAGTCATATCATTTTGTAATCCAATACATTTACTCATGTACAGTACTTAAAAGTAAAATGTTGAAATACTTTGCTTGAGCACTTAGATTTTACAACTTTATACTTCTATTATAGTAAGTTTAAGAGAAATACATTTTTCAGTCCACCACATTTATCTGACAGATGAAGTTGCTGGTTACTTTACAAATCAAGTGATTAAGTCCTTCAAAAAAACATATAAGTTTATGTTGTTATTATATTATATTATATTAGGCTCCAACCTCTGGTTTAATCTCCAACCCAAGTCTTGATTATTGGCCCCTTAGCAGCATTGAGCAGCATTTACCCTCTAAACTTTTCAGAAGGTTTTGTTTAAAATAACTGGTCAAGGCCCAAATAGTTGAATTATTCAATGTTTCATAATAAAGAAAAGATAACACCATCTTTCTAATATCAATATAAACAACTTTTTTGTTTCTTTTTTCATAGCCCACATGTATGTGATGTATGTGACAGCATGCAATTGTGTGACTTTGATAAATGTTTTTGCATTATCATGAATTGCGTCAAAATGTACATAACAATGATCTTTTCTTCCCACCTTTGTAGTTGATGGATATTCATGTGTGAGTGACTATTGGGACACAATTAGTTGTGTCATTAACATCACGGATAGTCCTGCAAAACAGTCCCACTACAGCCTGAATTTCACTAACTCAGGAGGGTAATTGTACTTTTTTCAGAATTACATGATGTTGAATTTTTAGATTATTCGTATTTATTAAGTTTGTGTTTTTGCCAAAACATATGGTAATGTTCTGTCAATGTTTTTTGAATATTTAGGGAGTCTTCTTGCCTACTTGTGGAGATGAATCACAGTTACAGCTGTGTCTGTAGAGTCACTCAGATTCCTTTTACGGGTGAAGATAGTTATAGCATTAGACTTTGTCATGAATCTGGCTGCTATCTTGTGAAAGAAATGTTTCAACCATCACACAACAGTAAGTATTATTTAATTGTGATTCTTACTAACTGTATGTGTCTGAGTGATTTTCATGTGTTGATGTTTGTGTTTCTTTGCATGCATGCATGCAGGTATGATATTGCATCCATAAAATGTATGTATTATGTATTATACATAATGTTTGAGAAATTGGGATATTTCCAAAGTACAGTATGTTTATTATTCAGGATAAACACTAAACAACAATATTAGGTAATTTCTTTGCAAAATGTAGCCTATTGATGTAGATGTGATTTGATAAATGTTTGTCATCAGTGCAGCTGACACCCCCACCTGCAGCTAAGGTCCAGCAAACACCAGAGACTTTCAACATTACTTGGACAAGTGGGTATGAAAAACATATGTTCTTCGAAGAGTTCAAACTTGACTACCAACTCCTACTTCAAACATCTCAAAGCAAGGAAAGCAAAGTAAGATCCACTGTTATATAGACATGCTTCGACAACACATTTTGCTATAGTAAGAAACAACAATAATCATTTATGTGATTGTTTCAACCTTTTCTCAGATTATGTATTCCAGTTTACATGAGAAGTCAATTCAAAGATCAGAACTTAAACCAGATACTACATATTGTATTAAAGTGAGATCTAAATCTACTAACGCTGAGTATGATGGACATTGGAGTAAATGGAGTCCATCAACATGCTGGAAAAATGAAGCAGGAGAAGGTAAAGTGGCACTTTTTTCTTTAGCTCAAAAGCTGTTGTATACTGTATGAATGACATTGAGTCATTCAGAGTTTTAAAGATGATACAGATAATTCACCTAATACACTTCCTGTCATTTCTGTAGCATGACTCACTAATTCTGTATTATTTCATTATGATTTCTCAGTACAAGATAACATATTAGTCATTTTGGCCAAATCTGTCGGCTCTGTGTGCGTGACTGTTGGAGTCCTGCTGTTTGTGTTCTACAGCCCTGCTGCAAGGTAGTTCATTTGTATCTTAAAATGTTGGTGAAAGGGGAGATTACATATTGTCATAATTGACGTAATCTCTAAAGAGTTGCAAGCCTCAAAAGTCAAATGTTATTGGACCGTTGTGATCTTTCATGATTTGTACCACAGAATGAAGATAAAAACTCTGTCTCACACGCCATCGCCAGCCCCTTTCTTCCAACCTCTTTTTCAACAACATGAAGGCAATCTCCAGGTGAGGTGGTAATGCAATGTTCTCTTATTCATTCTATGTCTTACTGTATTATTTTAGGAAATCAGGCCAGCTCGGCTTCTCTGCAGTTTTCCTGACAACATTAACAGCAGTTATCAGGTTCAGTATATAAATCTGTAATCATATTCAAGTCCTAAAGGATTTCATTCCTCCAGGCTTATATATTAGCTATCAACACAGACACAACTAATTGACTAACTGTCTGTGTCAATATGAGACGAAAACAGAGATTGCCAACTAGCATCCTGGTTACCAAAAGAGTGGTGTAATAATCTGTAAGCGAATTATCAGCATGGTTAAACAAGATTCTACAGCCATGTCAACATCTAAGGCACTGCACTGTGGTTCTTTAAGCTAAATGTTAACTTCATCTGTGTGATTCATTGTCTGAAGACGATGAATGTCTGTACAAAGTGTTCTGCCAGTTTTTCAAGTAGATCTTGAGATATTTCATGAGAAATGTAAAACCTGACTCAAGTCATGAAATATTTTGGTCCTGACCAAAGTGGTGGACTGACCAGCTGACCAACACTGAAGTCATCCATTGTATGATGGGGGAGTAACAACCTATTAGTAATTACTTTTCATATAAGTTATGAGTGTTCCTATAATGTGCCATATGAGTCATGCAACTCACACCTAATAAATATCAATGCTACTTAATTTTCAGAAATGGCTTTCTCCTCAAGGCAAATTTGTGCTAACATACAAAACTGAGGAGATCTTGACAAACGATGCTGTGATTATTGTGCCGAAACCCATTACGAAGGACACAGACGAGAACCAGGACTTCCACAACCCTTCAGTAACACAACTGCCACTCACTCAGTGCCAAACCTCCTATGTTGGTTTACCTGCAATACATGAGCCCTCCATGCCTTCAACTATGGTCTGTCCAGGGGACATGCCTTACACTCAGCTCCCTTGCTCTGTCTGGGGGGTTGGCTTTGGAGAAGTAGAAGTTTCCTCCTCTCCACCTAAAGATGTCTTCAACATCAGTCATGCAGACTCTGGGTGCAGCTGTGAGGACCTGACCCAAAGCCTAGAGGGCAGTTTACCAAACAGTCCAGTTGATGACAGTCCGCCACCATGTTACTGTAATGATTACTGCATTCTCAACAAAACAGCAGAGGGTTTTGCTCCTGTTTTAGTGTCCAAAGGAATTAGCTTAAATATTCCGTCTGATACTGTACAAGAGGATAAGAGCTAGAAATAAAAAAATATCCTAATTCACATGACTTGTGATGCTGATCACAATGGCTGTATATTGCATTGCAGGAAATCGTCACAATTAGACTTAATGCTTGCATGTTTACATTGTATGTTATGTGTTCCAGATAGCACTTCTTATTTAGCCAGTGCAGCTTTTGTGGGGTTTTATGCCTTTAGTTTCTGACAGTATCTACAAACTATTTGTATTGACCTCATTAGCTCTCTTTTTATAAAACATTAGACAACACATTACCACATACCACATATGACAGGCTTACACTTGACACGTTTGCCATGTTGACCGCAGAATGTGATAATGTGTATGTGTATCAACTGTGATTTCGTTTTTTAAAATGCATAATCAGATGTTTTTTATTTCTCTGTTTGTTCTTTACCTTTGCTTTTTAATGAAGAATAAGTACTTATAGGGGCATTAAGTAATCTCTGAATTCAAAATTACAACAAAGTCAAAAAAGTAGCTTTGTAACTGTTTTATTAGCTGCAGAGAGATGCTTTTAGATATTTGATGGACCATCATAATTGGTGGTATTGATCAGTGTGTAGTATCTGAAGGCTTATTTGAAGGCTTATAAAGTTAAATTACATTTTGGTATAAGTTGAACTGATGTTTTTGTCAACATATGCAGTGTTAGTAAGACATGAGGTTCAACGTCGTAATTCTTACTAGGCAGTGTTTAGGTTAGGGGCCTCTCAATGACCTCTGACCTCTGCCTTGAAAACCCCAATCTGGGTGAGGCCAGCTGGCAGTGCTACTAAAATAAATGGAATGAGTCAAATGCTTAGGATATAGGGTTATTTTCCCAAGGGGATGAATAAAAAACAATCTCAGTATCTTCCTCTCCTTATTTCTCCATCATGCCATAGCCATACTCACTGCACCACTAAAACAGGGAGCGGATATATGTTGAGTACTTGAACGTAGCATGGTCATTTTCCCTTTGTAGGTCAGTATACATTTATTTTAAAAATCCAGTCTAATAAATCAGCCCTGCAATAAATAAAGGCTATTTTTTTTTTTCGTTAAAACTGTTTCAGAGAGTTGACATAGTTGGCTCTGCTTATCATCCCATCTGCGTCTTATTAAAAAACAAACAAATCAAACATTAAACTGTGAGCAGCCTCACTACAATGAACCAAAACCTGAAGGTCCGCAACAATCCAGCAGTTGGCGGTAGTGCAGGTTTTTAGCCTGCCAACCTCAACAACACAACAGTAGAAGAAGAACAGGTCCCCCCCTCTCTTTAATAACAGTGATTTTTTATTTTGTCTCCTTTGTGTTTTATTTGGCCTGAAGTCTGGAGACTGTGAGCTTTCAGACACTAAACTGTGACTGTGGATCATTTCTCCAGAATACTTTTTGTGTCGTTTGCTGGTCGCTCGCTGGCAAGTGAGTGAAAACAAACAGTAAAGAGCAAAGTCTGCAGCTCAGCGAGTGAATGGCTTACAATGAGTAATAATAATCAGAGTGACGACCTGTGTGGGTGGCCCCCGACTTTGCACAATGAGGACGAGGCTCTGGCCATAGAAAACGCCATCAGGGCGGCTATAAGCACGGTGATGGGCGTGATGTGCGGCGCCTGCAGCCGCAGAGCGCAGGAGTACCAGAGGATAGTGGCGGACCGGGACAGAGAGATCCGGAGACTGGAGAGCAAGTTGGAGGAAAGTGAGCTGAAGAAGTTGCATGTGGAGGTCGGCAAGGGGCAGCCTGAGTGTGAACTTTCCTCTTCGCTTACGACTCGTGTAAGGGTAATAAACTGTGTGAACAGCTCTGATATCGACATGAAAAACGAGTCTGAAATTAATCTTTGTGGTAAGTAACAGCTCCATATTAAATGCATATGAGTTCACCGTGTCAAGAGATAACCATCGACAGGACGTCTCCTCTGCAGCGCAAACTAGTGTGTGGTCAGGAAGTTCACCCACTCATTTTTCTATTCATTTAATCTGTTCATCAGGTCGAGTAGGTGCACCTACACAAATTTCCCCCAAGTGCTGTGACACAACGGTGGCCTTTCCCCATCAACATGCCCACACTGCTGAGAAACCCTTATGGGAAGATGAAGGAGCAGCTGGAGAGCTGTCCTTTGGATGCATCGCCTCCCTGATCAAAGAGGAACCTTCTGACCTGGAGATTAAATGGGAAGTGTGTGACGGGGGGTTGTTGGACCAACAGGAGGTGCAGTGTGGAGCTGAATATCAGCACAAAGAAAAACCTGCAAGCAAAGGTAAGCTCAGCCACTGCTGGTATCTTACAGTGTTAGTGGAGTGAGTAATAAAAGTGATGAATAACTTCAACCTTTCTGAAAAGTCAAACCTGCAAAACACTGATCAGGCTAATACTTAATCTAAAATCAGTTGATTTTGAAATGATTGAGCGTGATAGGTTGAGAATTAGCAGGTGGTACCAACCTCTCTCCCACACAGCTACAGGTTTTAGTCACTTGTGGTTGGTAAATTGGTAATTGTTCCCACAAGTAACCTGGGGGAAAAAGATGAGGACAAGGGGTCTCGGTATGCTTCTAACAAAGTCAGATCTTATCAGATCTAGCAGCACCTGAAACTTCATCTGGGGCTGAAAAAACGTTTTTATCAGTCTGAGTTTGAATTTCTCTCTCAAGCTGACATTTTTTTCATCCTTCACACAATCACTTCCGCCACCTTTCATGTTTACAATCGAGTTTAACATCATGAAAGCCTTCGAGGAGAGAGGCTTTTCGCCCTGCCAGGTATGAACACTTCAGACATTTTTTGTTTCAGACATAGTGAACCTTTGAATCCTTGGACGCTCAGGGGTGCATTTCACTGTGAAATCAGCAAGTATGATAGACGCCCAATGCACAGCTTCGTGATATCACAACCGTGATGACAGTGGAATTCAGAAAGTGTTACTGAAGGAAAGAAACCAAATATGAAAGAGGTTGGAAAGCAAAAGTTTATTGCTGTGTCCCAATACCATACTTTGTCATATATATAGTATATACCACACTAAGCTTTATAGTATACTGTTTAGGTGGTTGGTATACTATTTAATAATAAGTAATAGGAAGTGATACAATAAAAAATGCCTTCAGACATCAATCAAACTGCGACTTTAGAGTGCTAATGACAGTAGAGTGTCACAAAGAGAAAGCTACATGTTTTTCAAAACAATTTATTCCTTTTTGTTATCTGAGGTGTTTCTGGAGTTGCTTCACCACCGTCCAACCTCCGTTTCCTTTGTGCACTGCATTATTGGAGAATATTGAAGAAGAATAATATCAACAGCATACTGACTGTTTTGGGTATACTTTATTATGAGTTTTGACACATTTAATTTTGGGGTTTGAACCAATATATCGAGAACAAGATTTGTAGGCTAGGGTGTCTCTGCAGCACTGCATTACTTAATTATAATGATGTTTTGACCCACTTTTTATCTTTATCAAAAAAATGGCTGCGTAATTTTGATATTGCACTTGATAATATTACTATATACTCCAAAACTGGTTCATAATTACTATGGAGTATGGGTTTGAGATGCAGATCTGTGTATCTTAAAGCATGATGCTGACTTAGAAAAATGTTGATTTTGTTAAACTGTGTCCTCCTTATAAATAGTGACTGAACAACAGTTTTAAGAGCTGTGATTCTGTATGTACAGTTTCATTTTTTCACTTCACAAACACAAGACTCTCTTTGTTTCTGATAAATCAGTCTGACACATCAGATAGATACAAATACTGCTACCCATCAGCCAGTCTGAAGTGTGAATCTGAGTAGTAGCAAATTAGTTAGTAGCAAAGTGTTTTGTCATTGAAGTCAAAATCCAAAAGCAAAATAATTTAAGCTGCGCATTGTATTTTCAATTTTTTTCAACTGTGTAATATTTAACTTTTACATACTAATCATTTTTTTGCTGAAATGCACCTTGGAAGTTGTAGTTAACTGAGCTCAACAAGCCTCAAAAGGACACCTTCACTGGCCATGTCCTTTAAATTATATGGCCCATTTTGGATGCAGCTTTTGGAATCTCTCACTTTGATAGCTTGAATACTTGTTTGGAGGACTGTTTTTTACCACTTGGAATCAATTCATGCCCTGCTGCCTACCTGATGAACATAATTTCTTCCTTTGACATTTGCTAAAGGAATAAGATGTAGGTTCAAAGCATTAACCAAAATGGCAAATTTCTGTATCAAATATCATCTAGCTTTGATACAAGAGAGATTGTTTCCATGTTTACTTTATTATTTTATCCTGTTAAAAGTCTATGAATGATAGTGTTGCATGCTTTAAGTGGAAAATAACTTTTTTTTCTACAACCACAAAATGCTCCAGATACCTTAGACAGTTTTGTTTTTTATTTTTTTTAGCTTAATTTAGATTAATTCGGAAACCATTAATACTGGTTTTTCCTATGTTGCCAAAGCCTGTTGTTTGGCAGTGGCCACTTTGGTAGTGTAACTTTCTCAGGTAAGTCAACTCAGCGTTTTGGTGTTATATAAATAAAATAGAACTGAATTCATTTGTTGAGGCGAGCTTGGTCACATCTGACTCCCACTGTGCCCTTTCAAGTAACTCTCTATGCTTTGAGAATGATGCATCTGTGGAATTGGGACAACTTGACCTCATTCTGATGAAAGAAATCAAAGATGTGTATTTTCTGGTGACACCACACTCATCAACCTACACGCCAGAGTATGGGATGGAAATTGTATTCACTTGCTGCATAAAATTTGTTTGCAATGAAAGTATTACACCTGAAACATAGTGGTTTGTATCTGTAGCTATGTTTATATTTCACTGATAATGTATTTCTCCTTTTAGCCATGGATGACATTGCCACTCTTATTAAAGAAGCTCTACCAATGCGTAACACACCAGCTACTCTGCAACCCATTTTGGATGTCCTCCAAGACCTTGGGGTGGATACAGTTGAAGATTTGAAGTTTGTCCAGATAGATGACCTAGCAGGCGTGCTCAAGCCCATTCAAGCAACAAAGCTTTTTGCACACTTAAAAAGTAAGTCAAGGCCAAATCTATAATAGAGTATAATGACGCCAGTAGCATTGTTGTATGGAGTCAGATAAGTCTCAATATTAATGAATGCACACATAAAGATTGTATTTTAGTGTTTATATATATTTAAATGACTTCACAAAATATTTTTTCTATTTCAGTCAGACAACTCAGGTTTGAAATGTTTATTACAGCAGTATAGCATAGTTAGATTTTGGCATCTAGGCTCCGACCTCATCACTCCCCACAGATATGTTTACATAGAGATATTGTTGGGGAGTGAGAAGCGAATACCTTAAACCCCCCAGCAAAGGCCTATAGGTGGATGCTGGGGTGGTGGTGGGGCATACAGAGCAGCAGGCAGCAATATGGATGCAGGGCAGCAGCGGCATTGACAGAGCAGAGGGATATATATATATACATAATATATATTTTTGGATTTCTATTACATTTATTTAAAACAAGAAATATTTGTGTGCATCAGAAATACATTTTATTATTTACAAGCTTATTTTTTACATGTGGATTGTTATATGCAACAATAATACAATATTTTTGTGTGTATTGAAAAATATATTTTTTGGAATCATGAATCCCTGTTTAAGGACAACATTGATCTTTTAAAGTGAATGTGTCTCTGTGCTTTTTAGGTTTCTTCTCAGCTCAGCACGATGCAGCTCCAAGCCACTCAAACATGGAGGAGGATTTCCTAAGCTCACCCCAAACTCCTTCGGAAACACCCTGGGTCACAAGTCCAAGCATACCCTCTACTTCTCGATGCTCACCTGGAGTCCTCATCTCCTCTCTATATGATAGTGAGTGCTTTAATTCTACTAGAAAACTGAGCAATGACTGGCACTACAATTTCCAAGTCCCTTGGAACATGCTGCCAGCTGTTTTGAGGAAGAAACTGGACTATCAGGAGCGGCCAAATGCCAGGGAAAGGAGGGAAATGATTCGCATAATTGCAGGGGAAATCCTTGCCATTTGCAAAAAACCAGCAAAGAAGCACCTAAGTGAAGTTGCACGGAAGATGGTCCTCGCATATCCAAAGTCTTTCAAAGACATAATAGAACATGAAGTCGTTGGAAGTGGCCATGATTCTTTAACAAAGCAACTTCAGTACAGAGTTGATAACTGCAGGCGAAATGCAACGCGGGGTAAGCAGAAGAGCGCTCCAGATAACGGCAGCCCTGTTCCAGAAAACAAGAAGCAACGCAAAGCCTCCTATGGTTGTATTCGGTGGGAATCTAGGCCTGTAAATGTGGATACACAGATGAAGAAGAAAAAAGACATGCAAAAAATGTTCCTGGAAAACGAGAGGAATGCACAAAAAATACAAAAGTTCATCTCAGACACCTTCACATCTCAGAGATATGACATAGGGTCTGGTAAGGACACACAGGCACTTCAGGAAGAATGGCCCTACCTATTCTCACTTGTCGGCATGAAGGCACACTTCAAGCTTTTAACTGGCATCCACATCAATGAGGGATTTGAGGAGGCCATGGCCACCAAATTTGCCCGGGTTCTTGACTATTTTCAGTCTCTTCCATTGGAGAAGTCAAGAGGAGCTGCAAGACAGAGAGAAATCCAAGCTGGTGGTGGACCCTGTGGAGCAGTGTTGATGCTGCTTTCATACTTCAAGGAGGATCATGCAAGAATGTTCCACATGGTCGACAAAACTTGCATCACAGGTGAGGATCAGATGGAGCACCTGCCACCCACACCATGCATTGTTGTTTGTGGTAAGTGAGAGGCAATAGAATATGTGTGCCCTACATGCAAATATGGGCATTTAAACTTATGGATTTGCCTGTAAGACTCTGTATATATAACCTTGTATACTGTGTATATAATTTTTTTTTAATAGGAGCGAGTCCAATGTCTGCAGCAGCTTTCATGGTGGCAGTTGACCAGGAAGTCATAATAGAAAACTTGGCAAACTTCACTGATGCATTGGTCGGCATGTTCATCTGTTACTACATCTTCAACATTCACTACCCAATGGAGCTCCGGACCACAATGGAGTTTCTCCAAAGGTAAATTTACATTAATTATCTTCTGATTGGGGATTTTTTTGGTTGTTGAGGGTGTTTTCTGGTATTTGTCTCAGTCTCAGATTTTGAAGGGACAGAATTCAGATATCACATCATTGGCCTATACTGTGTATATCATAGACGTTGCGCTTCAAATTTAATAATAACCAACATGGAATAAAACTGGAACTTGCTAGATTTAGCATAGGTTTATTTATCTATGTAGTTAACTTGGTAGTTGTGGCTCTACAACAGGTCAGATACTTCTCTTTGAAGCTCTTCCCTGTCTCTCCTGCCATCCCTTGTGTATCTTTTATTTGAGATTGATAAGATTGGTGTGTTATTCTGAGTTGATGTTTTGTGCATATCTTACATTGTCTGTATTTTGTACCACTCCTTTACCTACAGGTGCATCTTCAAGATCAATCCCGACCGGGGCTCCAAAGTAGAGCGCCAGGAAAAGAAGAAGAGCAATGCAGTGAACCCAAAAGTCCTGAGCCTTATCACCCGCATTTCGGAGTTTGAGTGGAGTGCTTAATGGGTAAGTTGCTTATGATCACTTTGCATGTATTAAAACAACAATACAGAAGATAACAGATGATGAATATAACTTGTATCCATCCAGACAAATGTATCTCTAAAATCTCTAAACAAATATATGTTCTCTATCAGATCCAGAACTCAAGAGCCCCAGGACACTACCATCATGTTACCCAAAGTTTCTGAATGTCAGTTCATACTGTATATCATATGTATTATATATAAAGTTATATATTAGAATTCAAATTTTTTTAATGGTTTGTAGAATTCTATGTTAACACAGTAAACAAGAGATTATCTGTTTTCAAAATGTTAACATTTGATACTGGCCAAATACATTTGTAATAATGATTAAAATGTGCTATAAATATTTAGTCCTGTCTAATTGTTGAAGACTTGTAATACAGATTTGTTGATATTGTAGACACTGAAGTCATTAAAGAAACCATGGACCACAAAAGCTGAAACTCTGAACATTGATGAGAGATTGCCATTTATTTCCTGCCAGGGCATGGTAAAACCAAGTATAAACTACATTTTAATTCATAATAATAATGATAATATAGAAAAGAGAAAGCCCCCCCATGTACTGAAAGTGAGCTTTGAAGAATCCGGTTTATTACAATAGTTAATCAGTGCAAAAGCATTAAAACTTTGCTCCAGGATAATCTGATTAAACACACAATACAGTTTCTACCACTACGGGTCTCTCAATCAAACCAATAACCAGTCTGCGTCATTGGTTACGTGCCTGTGGCTGTCTGGAGTGGAGGTGAAGACAACAACTCACATGTTCCCACGCTACTTTACAGAAAGAAATCTATAAAATGATATAGATCTTTTTGTAAAATAATAATTTTAAATTGTCTTTGTACGCTAATTTACAATAGATTACTTTTTGGTCTGTACAAATACTATGTATTAAACCAGACATGCTTTATAACCTGCAGTTTTAAGGAAAAAGACTTTGAACAGCTGCTGATTGCTGTAAGTTTACATGCATGTCTTCATTATCATGAACAAAAAAATATGTACAATACCATACATAATATTATTGTAATCTTAAATTATGTTAATACTAATTACTAATGATTGTAAGGGTAAAATTTATAAATAACTACAACTATCTGTAATTCCTACAGAAAAGATGTACAAACTGCAGTGATTTCAGACACACAAGCAAATCAACATGGTTGTTGGAGTCCTCTCCACTACTACCAACATAACATCTACCATCCTAATAACGCTATAGAATAGAATAAACTTTATTGTCCCTTTGGGGTGATTTGTCTAGCATTCCTAACTATATATATATATATATATATGCATAGCAACAAGTCATTTAGCTCTGTGTTCATTTTCTTTAGAGTGTAGAACGATGAGAATTTTTCACATGTTAATTTTTTCTAAGAACTGTGAGTGACTTTGGTTTGTTCTTTGAACTGCAAGTATGTGGTTTGCATTCGACTAAGCACTCAAGAAGAGGCCAGACATTTTTGTATACACTACCCTTAGAATTTAGGCTATGTTCATTTTATAGTGACATGAATGAGCTGATAATAAAACTGCTTGAATTCTTGCCTGGAATAATGGGATCACTGCAACACTTTCCTTCCTGTGGATACTTTCCCTCTGAATCTGAAGAAAAGTAACAAATAATGAGGCATGAAACCTCATGAGACCGGGTTCAGGCATACACTACACAGGACCAGAAGTCTGTACAAATGTTTTGTGTTGCAGTGACAATTTCTAAAAGTCCCTTAAGTGTTCATATAGTTTAATAAAAACTGTTGACTATTTATTGATGAACATTTAAATGTGCAATATGTCATCTCTGCCACTAAGGGGTCTTTTAGCAACTACAAAAAATTTGGGTTTTCTTTACACATTACTTCATCATCCATGTTTCCCTCATTACATTGTTCAGGGTTTTACTTGCATTCTTTTCCAAAACAATGACATTAAAACCAATAAAAACAAAAACTTTACCTAAAAACACAAAACACAACACCAACAACAAACTTCACGGAAAAGTAATCTGCTATCACAAGGATTGTTTTTGTGATTTGGTGATCAAGGTGATTTGATTTTGTGTGGACCCCAGGAAGACTAGCGACCACTTTGTGGAAGTTAATAGGTATCCAATTTAAGAATGAAGAATATAGAACTATCTGTATTTTTAACAGGAAGGAAAGGTGTGCATCTTAAGTCCCTAAATTGCATCCATGTTTCCCTTACTTGCATCTTTTCCTTACGTGGGAATGCAAGGAGAAATGCGAGGAGAGAAGAAACAAGGAAATATGTTTTCAGAGAAATTAGGTATGCTTTGCTCTGAAGTGCCATACAAAGCAACGTCCATTTGTGATGATTGCAGATGATGGGACTGATCACAACATCACTAGAGTTTCACACCGGACTGAAGACAGATGACAGATAAAACTCAGGTGTATCACTCCTAAGTTTTATATTTTATTTGTTTTCTGATTCACCATCTAGTAAAGCAGTGTGCGTGAATAGTCTCTAAATGGTCTAAACAACTGAAGACCCACAAACAACTTTCTATATTTATTGGAAAGATTTTTCTTTATATGATATGGTTATTTCCCCATTCAGCAAGAGTAGGAGACTTTTGCATATTTATCATCATTCATCTTTTATCTTGTCTCTGTTTTGTTACTAATAACCAACTCAAATGACTGCATGGAACATTAGTAATGAGTACTTGGCTATGGTGATCATTTGGGATTCTACTGTATGGAATAATATAGAATAATAATAATATGGAATACGATTTTCTAAACCAATGTAACTGTTTGTAGAAACTAGCAGTAGTAATATTTCCTTTGCATAATGCATGATATTAGAAAAAAGTTCCAAAAATATTCCTTTACACATGGCCTTACTGACTACTCAGTGTGTGTGTCAGAGCCTTCTGACAGTTTAGGTAGAAAGTTGCCATTTCCTGTGTGAAATGGAAGGAAATACATCACTGTCTTTGAAGTATCTACTTCTGAGGTACTGATTTCAGTATCAAGACCTGCAATGTGAGAAAACAATGTGTTGCAGCTGATGGCTGTGGTTATACTGTGTGACAATTTGCTCCAATTTGAGAGACATGAAACAACACATCGCAGGTCTCCTGGTTTTTATAGTTCAGTTGTGAATGGTTAAGAATTGTTGCATATTTATGTATTTGATTTTATTATATCCAGAACTAAAACTTTTTATGAGCTAAGAAAACCAGTTCTGATTACTGACATTGAGGAATATCAACATGTTTTTCTATAAACCCTTCATTTAGCAAAAGAAGTCAAAGTTCTCAATTGCTGTTAACAAAATCTTTTACCTCTCAACCTCAAGCAGCAAAACTTTGTCTTGGTAAAATAAAACCTTGAATTGGCAAAATTGTGATTTACATCGAGAACTTGAGTAGGACTTGAGTTTGGGCAGACATCCGATGCCAGCTTATTGTACTTGACAGTTTTTTATACAGTGGGCAATTAACACATTAAGTTCTGTACAAAAAAAAAAAAAAGCCTATAGCGATGCTATTTACGGATGCCCTAAAGGGCCATGCATTCATACATTTTATTTCCTCCGTTTTCCCGTGATAATGAGTTAATTTTCTCGAGATCTCGAAATAACGAAACTTTGTTTTGCCGAGATAACGAGATAATTAATTCGAGATCTCGAGATAATGACTGTGTTATGATAACTGCGGTCAAGCTAGCCGTTACTCCGATCGCTGTGGTCAAATCAGCCGCACTTAAATTTACAGCGTATTCACTTCCGGTTTTCAAAATAAAGGTATTAAGAACAGTAAGCTATAAAACAAAGTATACTTGTATTCTTATGTGTAGAAGTCAAATATACCATCCATAGCCAGGAATTATTGAGCAATAGGTTTTTACAGTACCTCAAATATATGAAACGATGCCACTTGGAGGTACAAATATGGAACTTTTGTTTTGGCATTTCTCCACATTGTTGCAGTAAAATGCTTGATATTAAGTATGTTTTTTATTCATCATGGGCGCATGAAAGACTTTAATGTAACATATTTTATTTTAAATGTAGGTTCGTATTAAAGTTTACCATTCTTAATAACTTTATTTCGAAAACCGGAAGTGAATATGCTGTAACTTTAAGTGCGACTGATTTGAGCAAGGCTAGCTTGACCGCAGTTATCATATCACAGTCATTATCTCGTTATCTCGGGAAAACAAAGTTTCGTTATCTCGAGATCTCGAGAAAATTAACTCGTTGTCACAGGAAAATGGAGGAAATACAATGTATGAATGCATGGCCCTTTAGGGCTTCCGTAGCTAGTGGCTCTGTGCAATGACAATGTTAACATGCTGATGTTTAGTATAATGTTGTGCTGCAGGTATTTGATCATAAAACCAAGTATTGGGAAAATATAAATAAAATAATTTCTAGATGAAAATGTTAGGGATCAATAAATTGTTACAGTCGATGAAAGTCCATCTAGTTGTTGTTAAGACTTTTCAGTCCAAACAACAAATGTCAACCTCATGGTGGTGCTAATGGAAAAGTCGGGGGATCACCAAAGTCTGTAGGATTTATTGCTAGTTGATAACATGCTTAGACAGGAAAAAATAACATGTTATTGATTATTGTTTATTTTTCCTTTTGTTTCAGACATATTTCTGTTTATACTACAATACTATAATGATAACAGTGTGTTCATATCATACTGTGGGGGGTCTGTAGGTCCTAGCAATATCTTAATATATTACTTGCCCAATTTAAAGTTTTAAATACAGTTTAATAAATGTTTGAGTCTTAAATTAAGTCCTCGGAGATTGTATTTTTGATGAAATGAAACTTTGACGTACACTTTGTCACAGAGAATTATCTTCTTCCTTCCTCAATGTGGTTAAAATTAATATTGAAAAAACTGAATTAGAGTTTCCAGTCAGTTCTTACCACATTGACTGCAATAATCTGAAAGGCACACAAAAACACACAGTTGGTGTTAAACCACAGAGGTGTAGCAGCTACAATGAAAGTTCATATAGACGACCTTGGTTGCTGCAAACTGATGATAGATAAAATAAATAAAAGTCGGAACCCAAACTAGACGTCTTGATTTTAACGAGTGTAAGAAAACCTGCAGAAAAATAGAGTTGGCTTATATCTCAGCATTTTCGTGAAGAAAACTAAGTGAAAGTTATTTTTATAGTTTTGATTATTCTTTGAAGACCTGAACACAAACTGTATTTAGTCTGATAAACAGCATCTTACTGAATTAGAAAAGTATTATAAGAAAATAAAATTATATTTAAGTTGTTCTGTTCTGCATTGATTTTAATATGAAATAACGATAAAATAAGTCACGTAGTTGAGGGTCCTCAGTTTACACAATGATTAAAAACAGGGTCCTTTAAAGAAAAAGGTTGGGAACCACTGGTCTAGTGGGCAAATTAAAGAAATAGTTTGACATTTTTAGATATAGCTTATTGGCTTTCTTGCCAAAATGAGAAGATGAGAATATTGATACCACTGTCATGTCTTTGAGGCTACAGCCAGGAGACAGTTAGCTTAACATAAAGACTGAAGCCAGCTTCCAGCACCTCTTAAACTCACCAATTAACCAACAAACCAATTTCTTCCAGGTCTGCTCCCAGACAAGAAATAGTCCGGCCAACAAATTCTGGAGGAGAAAAACAAAGAACTTAAACCCACAGCAGGGAGGGTGAAAGGTTACCAACATGTGGTGAGTCACTCTCAATAATTCAACATGTCTTTACAGCTTGCTATAGTTTGTGAAGCCTCTGTTTTTTTTCTGGTTAGTGATGTGGTGTAAGACTGAGTTATGTTTTGATTCAATCATTAAGCAGCACCTTTGTAAGACGGCATGAAATGAGTGCCAAACACCACAAAACTTTGACACATTTGGGAGAATTAGATGTTGAAAATAAATATTGAACAGCCAATTAAGGGAATTGTTTTCAGGATATAAAAAGCTTTGCTTCTATTTTAATACAACACATTAATTTTATTCAGCAATTAGTGTTTCACATGCACACACTGGTGCATATGTGGGTTAAGTGTCCACATTTTGGAAAATACACGTATTTGCTTTCTTATCAAGAGTTAGATGAGAATATTGATACTGTACCACACAAATATGAATCTAGTAGTCAGTTAGCATAGTGTAGCAGAGATAGGCTACTGGAAACAAGGGAAACAGTTAGCCTTCCTGGCTCTGTACAAAAGCAAGACAATCTGCCTACCAGCACTTCTAAATTTAAAGTTACATGTTATATCTCATTTGTTTAATAAAACAATATATATTTATATATAGCTGGATTTTGTTACCTTTGGACTGAGCTGGTTCCCCCTGTTTCTAGTCTTTATGCTAAGCTAAGATAACCTGCTTGTGGCTGTAGCTTCATATTTACCCTACATACAGAAGAGAGGTATCAGTCTTCTCAAACATTTTAACTACTCCTTCTCAAAGGCTCAAAGACATATCATTCTTATGCACAGATTAGTCCAATTACATTATGAGACTTAAAGCAGTGATCTTGCAATAAAAACCTAGACTAAATTAAACATACAATGCACTTTTATGTGGAAATGTTCAAAAATGTACTATTTCATACAAATGTGCTGATTTTCTTCTCTGCAACCAGCTGCTGATGTCAGTGAGTATCAAAGGAAGTGTGGGTGGGTGACAGGGGTCTTAAAACATCAAAGTTAAACCAAAAAATAAAAATCATGCAGGAACATTTGGTAAAATACAACAGAAATAAGAGTTTCTGTTTGTATAAACCAGTGAATACATGAATGAATTAAAATATATCTGTGGTTTTGACAGCTAAAAGTGCCTTAGTAGCACATAAACAGACTGTGGGGGATATGGGGATGGTAATTATCTTGCTGCAAAAATCACAACCGCACTAGATGTCATACTGTATACTCGCTGTGAAAGATTCCTTCACGAATTGAACATTTCAAAAACTATCAATAAGAATCAAATTAAAAATCTTGTATATTATCTCTAACTTTTCTGTTAATTTTTTAGTGTGTCAGTATTCAAGACACAGTTAATAAAAAGCACCTTGTTTTGCCTGCGCCAGTATGTATATATGTACATCTATTTATTCATTTATTCAAAACATCCTGGAAAAGTGTGTAAGCAGCACTTTGTCCGCAGCACAGCATCTTCCACTTGGCAAGTGCACGGATCCATTCTTTTTTTCTTTTTTATGCAGTCAAGAAGGCAACGTATTTTCAACTCATATTTCCACAAGGACTGAGTGTGGCAAGAGCTGACAGGCTGACCTCCAGGTAGAAGCGGGGGCTCTCAGGCATGGTGGTGAGGGCAGAGATGGCCGCCACAGAGCCATTTTATTTAGCCAGGTTTCTCTCCTTTTGACAATATTTTATAACTGTACATTATGCAGGTCAAAAATCTGGAAAAGAGGCTTGACACAAATAGGAAGTTATTACAACAGAAATAATATGCATTCCATTCAAAATATTCAGACTTTGTTGGAACACTGTACAGATTTGGCTTTGTGTAGTCATTAAATATGATCACAGCTATGTTACAATGTGTCATCTATCCTGATGTACAGATGTTCCATGAGTTATGTAGGAAGTTAGAATTGTTAACAAACACTTTATAGGGCAATTGAAATGTCTATATATCAGTTTTCACCTGCATTTTGAGTGGTATGAATCATTATTATGTGTTTATATACTTCTTATAAATGCTAAATGGAGGGAGTTACTGGGTCAACAATGAAACTAAGATGTCTTATAGCCCCAGACAAGACAGCTGTAATGAAAATAATTTATTGCCTAGCCTTGAAACATCTACAATAAACATACATTTCCTTCTGCTATACTATTTGTATAGCTGCTGAAAACATTCAGTCTGGTATCTGGTAACTCCTCTAAGCTAAGCATGAACTGCAGTAAACTTGCAATTTTATACCACTAACACACACTGTTAGTAGAAATGCTGCAACCACTGATCAAATAAGTTCTGATTATACCTAACCTTATTAAGATAGCTGCTGGTGACTAAAGTAAACAAGATGAAAATTAAGGTAATTCTTGTTTTGCAACCCACTCAAACACAGCTGAAAATCTCTGAACCCTGAGAGCCACTAATGTAGTTGTTCTCTTCCTTATATTATATATTATATTTATTACTATTTATTATGATTAGGGCCAATCAAAATAAGACTGGGTTAATTAGCCTGTAAAATGCATTATATTTTAGAAGTTGATCACATTTTTTGTAAAACAAATGTTCATCTGTAACTTAAAAAGGACTAGTAGATATGAATATTTCCATCTGAAATTTAGTGAAGTGGAAGTATAAAATAGAATAAAATGTAAAAGTACCTCAAAACTGTAATTAGAAAAAGTCTTAAGTAAATATAGTTAGTTAGATTCCACCCCTGTCCAATGCAAATGATCAAATGATTTTGTGGTGAAAAATAAAATGGTTAAAGTAACAGGCTGTTTAGCTGGTTGACTAACACATTCACTACATATTTTCTGAAATAATGATTTCCTGACTGAGTGATCTGTTTGTTTTTCTCAACATGTTTTTTTCACACCGATCATCCAGAACATGCAGAGCCAGCTCAGATGCTCTCCTTGTTTCTCCTGGGCCAGAAACTCAGAGTAATAGGAAAACACCATGGGGATGGAGCCGCCAATACTGTAGAGTAAAGGAAAGGCAGGAAGGTACTAGCATCCTCAGCCATCCAATTTTGTTGAAAGGATGGAGAAAAAATGCATACGGTGGCGATTAATCGGATATTAATGTTGCAGAAGGCCCTTTTGCAACTGTAACTATAATCCTTTCAAGTGAAGGCTTTAAATGTGAAACACCTGCAGGAAAGTTTAGTTACCAACTTCATGAAAGCAACAAAGTAGAGAGGATGAGAATGAATGAAAGAGGATGTGGGGAGATGCTTAGCTCCTATCTTTTACTAAGGCAACATTTCCTTTATTGTGAACACTTAGTGAAAGTAAGGCTGTGCTGTTGTTTCATGGTAATGTTTTTCTTAATAATGAATGTTTATTCAAAATGCAAGTATGTATGGCATTAATAAATAATGCAACTCACGATTCATTAACGATTAGAATTTTTATTTATAGATTTATGTATAAAATAGATTTATATATTATATTATATTATATATATTTTTTTATTTACAGATTATATTTACATTATTTATATAGATTGTATTTGTATTATTTTGTTTGTGAGAGGAAACCGGAGCACCCGGGGAAAACCCACGTGGACACTGGAGCATTATTAAGCCACAGTGCCACCATATTACCAGGCCACTGCTGTCGGTCACTGTCATTCGATAAAACACAGTATGATATAGTGATGGATGGTCAAAAGCAGTTGGCCGGCTAGAAATTATTATTAATTATTTTTAAAAAATATATGGAAAATATATATCAGATTAGCATATTGTACCGACACAAGCCGTACATACAAGTGTGGGGGAACAGCTGGTCTATTAGGGGGTCCTCCGCTGGCTCCATCGTGCCATTGTCGCTTGAATTGTGGTGGGAATAACAGCAGCAATACTTGCTTGGGCCATAGTCAAAACAGGCATGGTTTCTTCTATAACTGAGGACATAAAATCAGTGATTCTTCCATGAGCGCTCCAATCCGGTTCTGATGAGGCGACCAGCAGTTCTGATGACCCAAGGAACCACAACTAGACCAAGAGTTACAACTGGCATGTCGGCCTACAGTGGAAGTTGTAAAGAAATTATTTCCAATTTTTGATCGTGTGACTCTGCACAAAGGTGGGAGATATCCTGATCGATTGCTAACTGTATCTACTCGGACTGGAGTTGATGATGAAATGAGCTTCATGGGAATGACGTCATGAATGTTCCAAGCGTTTTACTTAAAAAAATTTTTAAATAAAAGTTAAAAATTAGCATTTTTTAAATGTAAACGTTTATTTTTAAATTCTAATGGCGACACATTTTGCGCCCATTGTTCTCGGTTTCATACATTAGACTCGTCTTTAAATCGAAGGAATTTGCAGCGTTTCCATTCACGCTGATGCCATATAATAAAGTAGGTAATAAAAATAATAAATTAATAGATAAATAAGCATAAATAACAACAGGTCGGTTTTGGGACAAATCCACCAGTCATATATCATTATACAGAAGATTATATAGGCAGTAGTTATGTATTCTTTATTGTAAGGAATATTGTATTTATGCTGTGCGGTCAGCACCATGGACAGAGCTTGGATTTCACATCTAAGCTGTACTGAAGCTTTTATGTAAAGGGCTGCATCTGTGTATGATATGTTTTTATGCTTCAGATAATAGAGGTGTATAAGACAAACAGTCTAGATGTGATAAACGCATATATATTTGAAACTTACTTCGTGTGAAACGCTCCTCGCGTTATTACGGTGTTCGCTGCAGTGAAGGACCGACGCTTAAGGATGGACAAAGTGTGAAGTAGCGCCACTGTAGGCCTACAGTAAAACTTCCTGCCCCACTGAAGAGAGTTTGAGATGTAAACTCTCTGCAGGGGGGTGGCCTCCGTTACGCACGCCTAATAAACATCTGTTTGAAATTCATGTGATTCTATAAATGTTGTTTTTTTTACAACTTAAAACACTGGTAGGAAACTGATAAAAATCTGTTCTGTACATTATGAGTGTTCATTTTGTCCATATTTTAGTGTACAATGAAAATACAATGTAAAGCTAACCCCCTCTTTATAAGTTTTTTGATAAAGAAAAAGTGGTTTATGTGAATGAATGAAAAAAGAGACATCCCAAACAAATACGATCAGTGACCAGTTTATTGCAAACTACCATTTGAGAGGAGCAGGCACAGAAACCCTCAGAATAGAGTGTGTCCCACACAAAATAATAATAACAACAACAATAGTTTGTGTGCTATATGGTGAACTCTGATTGACTTGACACTAATAAGTTGCAAATTGTCACTTTCATTTGGCAGAGAAGTGACCAAGTGATCATTTGGCCTAATAGGATGCATCTACAGTGTCTCAACCAATTTCTAGCAAACTCCACAGGTATTTCATTCTATAAAAATCGTTTCCGGTGTAGAATCAAAGCTCATTATAATCTGCCAAGAGTCACTCTATTGCAGTAAACGTGAATATGAATTATTAATTAATTATTGCAGTGTATTGCAGTAATAACACTATGAGTTGATAAACTGTGAAGAACGGCCCTCAAATCCTCTGGCTAACAGGAGGTCACACCTGCACAGCCAAACTGCATTCATCATGTGGTTTGTTCCCATAATGTCGCATTGTGCTAATAAGGTTTACTATGGCAACTATCAGCCTTAAGTTCTGAACAGGGAGCCCCAGAAGAGATAGAGCATTAATAAGCAAACACGTTTCATAATCCCAGTCTAATGAGGAACTCCTGGCTGCCACTGATAGCAGCTGTGAGTGATTGCTTGACGTGTGTGAAGACTGTAAACAACTAACAAAGCCAGCGGAAGGTCTGGCTGAAATACAGTGCCTATTGTGTGCAAGTGCTAGTATGTGTGGACACAGCTGCTGAATCTATAGTGGAAGGTATCCGTTTTCTAAAAATCTACAAAGATACAGTTCCCATCGGCTTTCTACATGTGACATCTTTTGTGTCATTTCGGAGGAGACAAATCAATCGTATAGTTTGGGATGAGATACATGTATGCATACACAAATCTAAAGTTCACTCTTCCCTTTTATCAATCAAGTAGGGCATGATCTGATAGATACAAACAAAACACACAAATACCAGGTGAGCTACCAGTGCACCTTTGTGGTGGAAATTTCATGCTTTACACATTCTTTAAGATGGAGGGTCCCACACAGGGTGAGTAAGATACGTTTATACCTTGTTTTGATACTTAACTGTGTAAATCATGACCATATTTGGGACTCTAGTAGAGTTTCTGGGTCTGGGTTTGTGTTAAATATCCCCTGACAGGAGCCATCTTTCAGAACTGGGTTGACCTTGTATTCGCTGTATTGCTGATCTTATTCTCCTTAAAAATGGAGGAAACAACAGTTTATCAGTGATTCTAGTCAAATCTAAGAAGAATCCAATCTGAAATTGAATTAACGAGGGCTAATTGAAGGCCAAGCAGTTTCCTGGTTCTTTTACTTTTAATTGTTTGTCAGATTTATTGATATGTTATGTGTTATCTCGTGTTCATAATTTTCAATAAAATGAAAGGTCAGTTGTGTTTTTTAGATAAACTCACTTTCACGTGTGATTGAGAGGAGTTGGGAGTTGCAAACCCTGCAATTAATGGACAACATACTCTTCCTCCTGAGCTACAACCTTAATCTCACACCCACAATAGTAACAATGACACTAGACAACAATTACACAATTGTGGCAAATTGATTCCTTTTTACTTCAGGTTTGTACATATACAATAATATACAAACTAAATAGAAATGATTAATTGTTTAGGTTATTTATCAAGTAAGAATGCATATAAAATCACTGCTTCAAAAGTGTTCATTTTTGACACTTTTGTTATATAACTGTAAATTGAAATAATCTCTCTACATTTTTTGGGCTGTACAAAATAAGCAATTTGAAGATGTCACTTTGTGCTGTTTGGAAAAATGATTTTTTAAATTTTTTTTTATTTTCTGACATTTTGCAGACTAAGCAGTTAATCGATTAGTTACTGCAGCTCAAATAACAATATCTGTAAACTCATACGATCACAAACAGGACCTGTAAGGTCAGAATCAGCCGCCGGGTGTCGCTGTGGCCGCCGGACCAACATCCACTGACATGCGCCGTTAGCCGAAGAAGAGAACTACGCAGGAAGCAAACCTGCATCTGTGGAGAAGTAGATTCAACGTTAGCTAAACACAAAAACACAGGCCTGTCTCACTCCGTTTTACTCTTGAAAACGGGGTTGATTTAGAAGATGAATTTGGTCAAAAGCAGAAGTTTGCACCCGCACATGCGCGACGAGGAAGCTGCTGTGGTGGAAAACGCCATCCGACTGGCGATAGACTCGATCATAAACGTGCTGTACGGTGTCAACAGTGCCAGGACTCACGAGTGCCAGCGGATGGTGGCCGACAGGGACAAAGAGATCCAGCGGCTGGAGGGCAGGCTGAGAGAGATCGAGCATGAGCTGCAGGTGCTGCGCCGACATGGATGCACCTGCGGGATGTTTGAAGAGGAGACGGCCGCGCACAGCCTCGGCGGATCAGAGGCCGCCGGTGACCCGCAGAAGACGGAGCCGAGCGGGTTTGAACCCAGCTGCATTGACAGTGAGATGACAGCAGGGCAGCAGGAGTGTGAGATGAGCATCTCTTGTAAGTAAAAATATTGATTTATTGCAATATTGATGAATATTAGAGCAAAGAGACACCCTCTTTAGGTGCTTCAATACAAGAATGCCTAATGTTTGTGTGAAGAACTGTACAGTTTGGTTATATTGTACATATTGTCTCTTTTTTTATTTATTTCTATTTTTTTTATCTTTATTTCTATTCTCTTTGTTTACTGTAATGCACCAATTTAACAAGGGACATTCCTTGCATGTAAAAACCTGCTTGGCAATAAAGTCGATTCTGATTCTGAAGAGTACTTAAATGTATTTCTCAAGTAATTAAAATGAATGAAATATCCCTGTTAACCCTCATCCTACCAACATATTTAACATAGAAGGACTACTGACTGAGAATAAACTACTGTAAGATTATTAGTTGTGTAATTAAGGCCGTCTGACCTAATCATCATCATCATTATTATTATTATTATTAAAGTTAGTTAATTTGCAAATTGTGTGAAACAAAACAGAAAGCACACAAGTAAATCTGTGTCTCCTTCAAACTGACTGAAGGACTGAGTGTCCCTACCTCCCTGATATAGTGTGATACTTGAAATTAAGACCTGAACTCAAAACCAAACTGAATAAATAGTTAAATCTATTAAAACTGCATATTGGGTATTTTTGACTGCTGTCCCCCCAGGAGCCAAGCACTTTGGTGTTTTTAAAAAAGCACAAATTAAAACATAACCAGAAATCAATGATATGAAGTAATTAGGAACAAACTGATTGACAGTCAAGTTAACACAAATAAGTGCAAATATAATCTGTTACTTCCACCCATGAGCATACAATTTCCTGTCTCCTTTTTTCCACAGTGGGCCTTTTTGCAAGACCCCCCTCACATGTCTCCTCCCAAAGCCACGAGTCCGCTCTTCCGTCATCCCCCAGCAGAATCGGTCTGGAACAAACCTGCACCTCTCACTCCTCAGAGTCCTCAGGCGTATCGGAGGCAGCCAGGAACCTGCCTACATCTCCCAGCAGCCTCGTCGTCAAAGAGGAGCCGTATGATATCGACACAGTCTTAATCAAGTGGGAAATGAGTGAAGAGAGATTCGGGGAGCATCAGGAGAGCACAGGGAGTCCGTATCAGGACAAGGAGAGCACAGGCAGTAAAAGTAATGCATCCTCTCTCTTATTCCTAGTACACATTTCCTGAATGATCTCTCAGTTTAAGCTGTTGCATAAAGGGCATGTTCTGTAACAATAGGGCTGAGTATTGAACATCAATAGTATCTAGGGGTGTCAACCAAAATCGATTGAAATGACATCTCAATCTCGAACTTCAAACTCAAAGGTAGAATCGACGATGCAGCCACACCCCCAATGTCACGTCCAGCATGTATGCCAAGACTCAAACACACACACACACGTGCTGAACTGCGGCGTCAACGCTCCTCTAATTTTAGGCTGCAGCCAGTTAAAAACTACACATCAACCGACCGAAATCGAAGCCCCTCTGAAATCACCAGTGTGGAAGTATTTTGTCGTTCATTCACGTCAATTGACACTAACTTAGCCTACTCAACTTATCAAGTGAAAAGATGATCTAGTTACAGTCCAAAATTACTTTAAGGCTTAAAATGCACATTGATAAGTACATATTCCATGAACACTAACCTTGGGTCTCTTCGGAGTGTGCTGAAACAATCAAATCATCATTCTGTGGTGTTGTTTTATTTCACTATGTTCACGTCTCTGTTTAATGAATGTTCTGTTTACAACCTGGAACAGTTTCAAAATAAAAGCCCCCCGAAACAGAATAGGAAAAGGCCAAAAAAGTAAATAACATATAAGGAATGCATTAATAGTAATATTAAAAAAAGACCAAATCGAATCGTGACTTTAAAATCGAAAATTAAATCGAATCGAGGATTTGGAGAATCGTGACACGCCTAATAGTATCCCGATCAAGTATCAAAAATTTGGCATCAAAATTCTCTGTCACATTCTTTGACTTGTTTCCTTATTCCTTTAAAAGATATTTCGTGATTTAAATCATAATTTTAAACAGGCTCATGCTTTGAATAGGGAAAGATTCTTGTATGGCTGCTTTGTGAGTCACAATTGATCACTTTTGCATTTGAGAGAAAAAACATGGTTATATTCAATATAAAATGTAATGTATCGTTTTGGATTGTGTGGATTGTGTATTGTTTTGTCACTGCTATCAAACAGTGTTAAGCAATACACAGTTGTGTGTAAGAGCATTAGAAAGAGAAAAGCTTTTGCTGAAAGCTGTCACTGTAAAAATGCATTTGCATGATGGCAGTGGGGTTGTATGATTAAGAAAATGTTTGTCCCTTCTGATCCCGTTAGAAAAACTGGAGAACAGAGAGAGAAAGTCCAGCGAGACCCCTCATGCAGACCCGGATGAACATCACGTCACTGAGGGAGAACACCTCAGGTGGGTTGTTTCATAGATACAAGTGAGCCAGATGAATACAAGGGACCCTCAGTTACCTCAGTAGGGTTTCTACCTCTTTAAAAGATAATCCACCCAAAATGTTTCAACTATATGAAACATCAATTGTGGCATCAGATATTTATAATTAAGGGCTTCTCTTTGACTTTATACTTAGATTCAGTGGATTCAGGGTGCAGAATTAACATTTTTGTTGGTGCTAATTTTGTGCCCTGCTTGGATTATTTTCGTAATTGATTTATCAGCCACATTCATAATTTATTGTATAAAGTTCCCATAACTAGACCCCAGTGGGATTTCTTTAAATTTCCATTTCTTCATTAATGAATACATTTGTGGGGCATTTAGGTCTTAGATAGGACAGTATTGAGGTAGAGAGGAAACAAGAGGTGAGGAAGACGTGTGACATGCAACAAATTGCTCGCTCTGTCCGACCAACCGTCCAGAAAGGAAGGGGGAAATACTTTCTGTCTTTTACTTGATAAAGAACTTAAATTATGACTTTGATTATTACAGTTGTTGGTTAGTTTTCTGTTAATAGGCTAATTCCTTAATTTGTTCAACTTTTCAGAATTACTGAGACATAACCTCAATAAACCAGAATGTTATATAGTCAGAAGCCACGTATATTCTTCCATTCATCTGGGATAGAAAGCATGAGTGTCGGGCATGATAATGGTAAAAAAACAAAACGAGGTGTGAGATGTGCTGATGCAGTACTCAGTGGTTTACAATTTGCTGTGACAAATCTTGCATGAAACACCACGTATCTGTTTAGCCACACTTATGTCACACTTAAAAGCAGCATGGGTCAGTTGGTAACAACTGTAGCCATTCAGCTCAGTAGTTTGAGTATCTGATTTGTGATTGCAGACAGTGGTGTGGTGGCAGTCCTACAGATCAGATTTTTCCTTTGTTGCTTACTACCTCGTAAAACATACAAATCTGTTCATTTGTCAGTTGTTTTATTGGACTTGGGAGGCAATACCTACTCATCTGTGTGATCCTTTCTCACCTCTTGACCTCCTCAGGAAGAAGAAGAGCGTGCCGATGTCCGAGCTGCCGGAGGAGGCTCAGAGACTGAAGAGGGCAGCCTGGAGAGCAGCTTCCAGGCGGTACTACGCCCGCAAAGTAGCCCGGCAACAGGCAAACCCGTCACGCCCCCCCGTCCCCTTCCCCCGCATTACAGACTCTCGGTACTCGCAACCAAACTCTTTAGTAGATAAGAGGAGGAGGACGCTGATATCTGAGTTACCTGACGACTGTCAGACGCTGCAGAGGGAGGCGTGGAGAGCCGCGTCCAGGAGGTACTATGCTCGAAAAACCGCTCGCCACCAGACTGAGCCCACACAGTACGTTCACCTGCTCCAGAACATAGAGCCGTCTGAGGAAACACTGGGACCTAACACAGGAGGATCCCACACCAACAATGGAGGAATAATGTGCAGCTGATAGACAGTAGTTGAGGTTTTCTATCCTGCATAATTAAAGGTTGATTTCATTGTGTTATGCTATGTAGAACACTGGACTGCACTGAATATTGTTGGTTGGGTTTGGCTCAGGTCTTCTGATATGGTTTTCAATTAACAATTATTTTCATTATCGATTAATTGATTAGTTGTTTGATCGACATTTTCTGACATTTTATGGACCAGTGTTTCCCAAAGCCCAAGGTGACGTCCTCAAATGTCTTTCAATATATATTTATATATATAATAAAGATATTCAGTTTACTGTCAGAGGACTAAAGAAACCAGAAAATATTCACATTTAAGACGCAGAAAATAATTAATCTATTTAATATTGGACCACTAATCAATTAATTTTTGCAGCTGTAGTCAGAGTAGTTTGAACCTAATATTTTAAATAAAAACAGTCATTTGTGTTTCTTAACAAATATAGCTGCAATAACATCACATTGGTTCTGATTTCTCACTGATTTTATTATTTTTCTTTTCAGCCTTTTTTTGGTATACTGCATTGCATGCCTGTACAAAATGCTTACTGCAAAGGAAGACTGAATAAATGCATTCTGAGACAATATAAAGCTATTGTACAGTTTTATTCATGTATCAATACAGCGCCCCTGGAGTTCAACGTCTGTAACTACAATCAAATTATGACCTCAACGTCTCTGTGTAATTGATAAATGAAGAATTACCATGTTGATTCTTTGCTGGTGAGACTTAAAATGTATTTTTGTCCGTTTTTTGGAACATGTTAAATAAAAAATAAATAAAATAAAGACTAGATCATTTAAATACAACTGATCTTTCTGTTTACAATGAATCATGTCTGTCTAAATGTGTCAGTTTCTTCTGTTATTGCACCAACTACAATTTACTTTTTTTTTTTTAAATCAGTAGGCCCTTATATATTTTAGTTCATTCTAACTTGAAGCAAAATAAACTCACTGACCCCCTGAGTGAAGAAAGCTTTCTTTGTTTCAACATGTCTTGATTTTCTGTGCACACAGTAAAAGAAAAACACATTTCTATTTTTCTCTTTCTTTAAGTTTATTTATTTTGAACTAGATACACAGGGAATGAAATCAGACAGGTACAATATGAAGGCTTGCTTGGTGTCACATTATTAGGCAATACAGCGCTCAAGTGCTACAATAAAGCATCTGTTCTGTCTTCATATATAGCCCTAGTGCGGAATAAGACAGAAACAGATAATCCTATAATACATATTTATTATAACAGGGAGTCTTAGATATATTTTGGCTGATTTGTAACCACACTCCTGTGCCTGTTGTTAAGTCACTGCCTCCAGACATCATTACTGTGGCTTCAACAGAGCGCTCCACCTGCACCCCCAGCTAAAAAAACCCAACATCTTGCAACAGCGGCTGTTTACCACCCTGGAGCCTACATATTACGCGTTTTGACCGCCGCCCGACGCACAGCTGATCTTGCACAATTATGGTGATTACAGTACATCATATAGGACTGAGTGTGAGTATTCATCGCACCGTGGCTTCAGTGTGAAATGTGATCTGTGTGACAGCTGCTGCGACAAATGCGCATTGAGGACAGGCGTGCGTCCGGCTGGAGCTCCGGCTGTGCTCTGGTGCTGAATAAAGGCTACACATTCATCTCTTTTTTTTTCTTCAGGCGTTTGAGCGTTCATGTGGTCGTTTCTGAGCAGATAACGAAGGCTTTGACAATTTCTAACAGACACTCGTCTTTTTATTTCTATTTTTCTTCTGTTTCCACCACAGGGAGGACAGGGCTTCCCTTGTGTTGCTGCTGCCGGAGGCTCGCTGTCTCAGAGAGGGGATGCGGGGTCTTAAACCTGCTGGAGACTCAGGCCCGGACACGCAAGAGGCAAACGCCCATCCTATTTGTGACTATGTGCTGGTGTAATATACGACGTAAACATCATGGACATCAGCTAGGCTTTGAAGGGAACAGGATTGTCTGTTAACGCTCGGCTGGCAGCTGCCTAAATAATTTGCATGGGGGTTTATTTTGGGGAAAACAGCTTCAACCGCCGGCGCAGTCATTCCCTGATCTAAGAATCGATTGGATGTGTCTGTAGGGCTTTTCATATAATGTTTTTTTTGTGTGTCACAGGGCTGAATTTTTGCTTATTCGAGCCTGGATAAAGGACCAGACTGTGGCTCGTTGCAGGACTACTTTGGCGCACTAACTGGGTGCGTTTACAGCTCAGCTTTTAACCTACTTCATCGCTACTGCTGGTCAGAGAAACAGTAATTTTAATTTGTGAACAGTGCAACAGTGATGTCCGTATTAGCACATATATATTTAATTATATAATATGTTTAAATACGTTAGGTAAATAGCTTTACTCTCTGAAGTGCCAATTGCGCCATTTGGTACATTTTTCTTGCTGCACTTTGCTTTCAAATTGACTTTAAATTCGACTTTGTTTAAGTTGAACTTTACATTTTTGAGTACAATTGATAACATTTAAACGGAATTATATTATAATTACCTTTTAAGCTGGTAAAACTTCTACTTTTTTCTCCTGGAGTCTTTGGAGAGCTCTCTGTGCCTTTGGATACACTTGTGCACTTTTGGAGAGGTCCATTTGGATCCATAGCTGTCTTTTTGCTTGGTTGGATTCTACACATATTAAAATATTTTCATTCCGCTTTCTTTGGTCCAGTCCACAAGATAAGGGTCTCTTTGACTCAAAAATAGCACCAATGGACTATTTGTAGCCTCCCAAAGATGCTCCAGGGCTTGGCAAACGCACAGACAACTGCAGAAAGTGCCTGAGAGATCAGCTGCGCACTTACTGACAATTGCGCTTCAGTATCAACTGAATGACTACTGGATGGACCAGAATAAGTTGAAACCATAGGGGTAGGACATGGTGTATTTGAGGAGTGGGCTTTATTGTTTAAGGCCACCAATATGTGATATTAAAATGGCATTTTGGAGCTTATGTGTATTTGGGGCCAAAATGGCAATTTCTGGGTTTTAGGGGCTCTCTGGGCTCTTTAGAAATGGTTTAGTCCAATTTGGTCACCCCTACATATTCAACATACATGGAAGTGTCCTTTTTTGCAGGGATTGCTGGGAAGAAGAAGGAGGCTGTCGAGGTTGGGACTTTGGTGAGGGAGGCATAGGCACAGCCACTCTCAAAAGGTAAGAAATCCTCTCTTCTGCTGCGCCCAATGGTGCCCAATGTTGGCTGGGAGGCAGATGGAGGCTGTATACTCAACATTTAGACACAGAAATGGAGGTTTTCAGGTGTATTTTGGTGTCTAGATAGTGTGGTAGAGCAGGGAGGGTCAAGGCATTATGGTGTGCATTAACAAGGAAATATGGAGGCACGGCTAGGGGGAGCCATAGCTGGGCAGGAAGGCAGTAGTCTGGGCCTGAGCTGATAGGAGAGGGAATATTTTGCTTCTTTTAGTACTCACAAATAGAGAAGAACTCCGGAAGATACTTCATTGTTGTATGTTAGTCTTCATTAATATTGTTATTGTTTGAACTGCATTAGCCTGAAGGGTGTACACTTCCTTAGTAAAAGTGTCCCAGCTGCCACACAGGCTGTGGTCTGTAAAGACAGAGAGCAAAGTGTCAGGTACCACGAAGCAGTGGCAGAAAACATTCAAATAAGTCATGAAAATGTAAGTCATGTACTTTGGGAACACTTTTAATGCAATATAGTGTGTACATTTTGGATTAGCATTAGCACTGCTATGCTCATAGAAAACATTCAAGATGGCCACTCCACTGCAGAGAAACAGGTGAGAGCAGCCTGTCACTTCCTGATTAGACAGACAGAGCTGCTTTGTTAACAACCCACATGGAGTCAGTGTTTATTCCTGGCAATGACTTAAACTTTACATTTTCTTATGGCTACTTTCTGTATCAGACGCACAGTAATGCAGAAGCTGAGTCACTGAGCCACAACTTTAGGCCAAGACTTAGTGACTGAGATGTGGGTGTGCTGTGCCTTCTGCTTTCTTTAAAGACCATGCTGCTCCGGAGCCCTGATTGGTTAACCCATGGAGAACATTTTAACCCTTTGTGTAATTAATTGGCCTTTAATTCATATTTGTATTAATATATAAAAAATCATATGATCATATATCAGTCCTAAATTGTCTTTGAATGGATTACAAAAGACACAAATTGATCAAGCTCGCGTACACACACGTTTTTGAAGGTAAAGAGTCGATTTATGAATCGTTTAATTTGCACAAAGAGTTAATTTTATGTTGAAGATTAAAATGCAGCTGCAGGAAGCTATAAGATTAATCAAAACCATCACTGTTGTGATAAATACAGCTCATATTCTCTAGAAATTAAACCATTTTTTATGGTGGTATTGTTTTTGAGGTAATTTGTGTCAAAAAACCTGTTATTAACCCTTTCATTACCAGCGTCTCCTCTTGCAGTTTGCCGTATTGTGTTGACATGTGGAGTGTTTTCTGCCGTAGAGCCTCATCTGTGAAAACAAGGACAAATAAATTGAAATAAAACACATGAATGTAATTTGTTGACAACCTATTGGCTACAAAACACCAACTTTGAAGCAAAGAGCACATCTACTATCCACATAAGAATAGAAAGAAATCCAAACATAACTAGACATTTATGGGGTGAGCAGATGGCTTTCAGTTATAAAGCTGAGATGTGATATAAAAAATGATCAAATTCAGCAAAAGTGACATTTAAGAAGCATCTCATGGAGATTTCATCTCATTTTAAAAGATTATTGAAATGTAGGTTTCACAAGTATTCAAATAAAGTGAAACACCTGCTCATGTTTTGATTGAATTCATGCATTTAAACACATCATTTAAAGTTAGCCTGAAGCTAAAGGGTTAAATCCTGCTCCTGCGCCACTGCTTTTAGTCCACATTGGTGGTGCTGAAATGAGATGGTGGATATTATGGTTTACGTTATAGGTAAATTACTGCCCCCTCTGGTGGACACAGGTAGTTAAAAAGAGACAAAAACAAAACAGAAACACACTTCACACACTAGTTTGTCCATTAGTGTGTGTGTGGGTCTCAGAGGGGGCCTGTTTGAACTTGCACAGCATTGTGTTCATCAGCTGTGTGGGTCCTCAGTGTCGGCACAACACGGGAGTTGTGATTATCTTTGTGACTGTGTTGTAATCTGACAGTGGTATGTGTCTGTAGTACCCACAGCACGCATGTGGAGCCAAAGCAGAGGTGTAACAGAAGACTTAACACTGTGCAGTCACATTTAGCTCTGTGGCTGATGTCACTGTCTGATATTTTGCTCGTGTGTGTGGAAAAACACTCCTGTATAATCTACAAACACAAGAAGGTGTCAGCAGAGCTCACTCTTGTAGCTTTCAGCAGTCTCCTGTCAATGATCAGCTCACACACAGTCTAGTTAAAACAGGTACATTCTGCCTCTAAACTAGCCTGAAACCATATGATATTTGTACAGTAGCTCCTGTTATGTAATAAACAAGTCTTACAGCTCAGTCAGCCGTGGCGTATTTGTTTTCCCACTCTTACTGTCCCGCCCATTTGCTGCTGCTAGCGTCTCTACAGTCCTTCCTCATGTAGCTCGCTGCTGCCGAGGAGCTATCGGCTCGGCCCATAGAAACACATAGAGAGCAGCCTGGTGCTGAAAGGCTCGAGTGGTGAATGGAGCTGTGTGATACTGAAACACAGAGGCTGTTAACTCCTTCACTGCTGAAAACTGCAACCAGCAAAATACAAAAATCTGTTCACTTCCTGGTTTAGGGACACAGAATGAACCAAAATCAGCACTATGCAACTTCTATGTCGGATGTATTTGAATGGCGTCTTGTGTCTGAGTATCTGTGTGTCTTTTGTTTCAGGAATCATCCTGATCAGGACCAGAGTCCCTTTCTCACATTAACAATCCAGGGCGAGGTTCCTGTGTGTGCTTGAAGAGGAAAAATTTGATGTAAGAGGCTACGACTGTCATGATGGAATATTATGTATATATGTGTAACAGCCATGAAAAGCTTTTTCTTGATCCCGACAGCTGTCACAGCTGTCAGAGGACATTTCAGACTCAAAGGAACTGAAATAATCAGTTAGTGATGATAAGCTGCTGTACAATTGAATATAAGTTGCTCTGTGCTGGATGTCAGTGCAGTATAAATGTTACTTTTAGATCAGTTTTGCTTGTCCTCTTTCAATGCTCTGATTTATTGAGCAGCTGAGAAGTGGAGTCAGCTGATTTAAAGCTGTGAAATTGTTGGTCAAGCTGAGCCCTTTTACCAATACAATGGACTTCTTATCCTTTTTCATGGCTGTCAAATGAGTTCTACACATGGATTTATTCATGAAAACGTTATGCTCTCCTTCTGTATGTTAGTTAGTTTTTAGTTTGTATGTTTGCCTGTTGACAAATTTCACATTTTTGCGTGTAAATAATGGAAATTATTAATTAGAAGTACAAATTTAACACTATTTCCCTAATTTTTTTCTCTTCCCATCTCTGTCACAGACAACCACAACATCTTCTCCACCTGGAAATGATGATGGATGAGGACATCATCGAGGACCGGGCCAAGCTGAAGCAGGGCCTGGTCAAAGTGCTCCAGTGCGTGGCCACCATCTCCTCAGCAGCAGCGGTGGTTAACCCCATTTTTGGCGTGGCGGGTTCCCTGATCCGCGTGGTGCTGCACCACGTTGATGACGAGGACATCCGCACTCTGAAGCGCGAGTTCGGCTCGGTCAACCGCGCACTGGACCAGCTGTCCCAGATGAATCGCAACACGCTGGTACAGATCAAGAAAGAAACGCTGGATGGCCAGTACTGTCGCGTGGAGGAGAACCTGAAGAACCAGTTCAGAAAGTTCATGGAGATGGTGGAGGCACGGCCGGAGCACCGCGAGCGCAAGAAGGACGACTTCGAGGAGAGCTATTCCAATGACTTGGGAGATCAGAACCTGCACACGCTGTACGACGGCGTGGTGGGCAAACCGAAGCTCTTCAGCAGACCCATCCTGGAGGTCTACCTGAAGCATTCACAAGGCGACCGCCAGACTATGGAGCGACTCTGCACCCGACTCACCTACCTGTTCTGCATTGGCCTCATCGCCCTGATGGGCTACGCCGCCGTCATCGGAGACGACGAGGAGGGTCTGAGCGAGGAGTGGGCCGAAAAGATGGAGCACGTTCAAGAGAAGATGCAGGAGGCTCTTAGCAAGTGCAAATAAGGAAGCATGCTGCTTTCTTTCTCCACTGCTGCTTTATCGTCATATTCGGGACTCGTGTGTCCACATTCCCTCTGTAACGCCTTCCTTTTCTCTCCCTATAAACACTTGTAAGCATCTAAAGTAGGTCGACTGCTTCAAAGCCCAGTGATAATGAGCAACAGTATGTCTCATTCTCTTCAAAACACTACCTTTTGGCATGTGCAATCTTTGAGCCACAGGCATGTATTTGCTGTCCAAGTTTAGGTGAAGACAACTAAATTATTGCACAATATTTGCTTTGTCATTTGATAAATGTGGTTTCAGTTGATACAGATAGAGGACGCTAAACAGCAGTGGGATCATTACAATGAATCATTAATCTACTCTGAAAGGTAATTTTGAGCAATGTAAGGAAATTGCACTTACACACTTAAGTGTGCGATATTGCAACGTATCACACCCCTTTATGCAATTTTGGAAATGATTTGCCATATATTGTAGTTTTCTGTATTACACTACAAGTTAATCAGTTTGTTGGTATGTGCAATTAGCCTGGCTGAAATGTACAGTTTAAAGGGGAAGAGGAAACTTGGCTTAGGCGGCTGTCATATTAATGTAATTCCACTAGAGGGCCTCCTGTGAATTCCTTAAAATCTGACATGTCAATATCTTATTTTTAATTGTTGGATAACTGCTATAAGAGAGTTAAGTCGTCAATCAAGTTATAACTATAATCTACAATATAAAAAAGGTAGAAAAACCAAAACGAGGAACAAACATCCCAAAGTTTGAATGTAACTACACTAGTATCCTCATATAATCATCAACATACACTAAACATGATTATACTCTCATGTGCAAAATAACATGTGCCACAAATGTTGTATGTTTCATATGCATGGAGTTTGTGATACACTGTGTACACTTGTTGCTATTGAGCACCAAATTTATTCAGATTTTACACTAATTTCTGTTTCTGCTCTACTAAGTTCTTTATACTTTTCTTCTAGTAAGTATCTTTGGTTAGAAAAACACGGAACAGTACACATGAAATCCGATTTGTTTGTAACGCTACACTACTATCTGGCAAAACACTTCACCACAGAAGGATACACTAAATATAATTTGCCATTTATGAGGTCAAATTAAACAAATCGCAACATGTGCTTCCGTTTACACAACCCGTCATTGTGTTACGATTATTACACAACTGAGATGATTGACTTTTAAAATGTAGTATCACAGACAGTCATAATGTCACTGGACTTGTGCAGTTCTGTCTTTTATTTTCTATTACATTTAACACAGGAAGTGTTTTTGTAATATATATATATATATATATATATATATATATATATATATAGATACAATTATCAGTGGGTTTCTTTGGTATATGGCCTTTTTAGAGCCTATAAAACATTTAATGTCCATTATTTGGGTCGTTTTTTTTTTTTTTTTTTTTTTTTACAGTTAAGCCTCAGCATCAAGAGAAAAGTTTTGACTGTGCTCTCCTCATACAGTTCCTCATTTGACCAACAGTGCCTGAATGTGCCATTAGTTTTATATCATTGTCTTCCTTTTTAAGGGTTTTTGTCTTTTAAGTATAATGTGTATGGCATTATGTTTTGAAAGGTATGTGCGCTACAGTTTAGATTTTAAACTTGTGGTTTAAATGTTTATAAATGTCTTTTTGTTTTAGCAAACGGGTGGTATCTAAGTACGCAGCAGGTTTTGGATCGCTGCATCAGGACAGTTCAGATTGTCAGCAATTAGTTAGAAATTAGAAAAGTAGACTAAACACGTGATCACTACACAATATCTGTCATTGATTAATTACTCTCATCCTTTCAATACATAACTCTGTCCTAAAGTGGTTTATGGTTGTGTGGCATTGTGCCATATCTCTTATTGTTACAACAGATTCAGTATACGCTACAAATATATAGAGTCAAAATGCTGTTGATATAATATGAACCTCGTAAAGGCTTTTTTGGAAATGTCATATTTGTGAATATGTTGCCTTTTTTGTTATGAGTCTTTGATGCCTGTTTGTATATGTGCCACTATAAATAAACACGAGTGAATAATAATGAGAAGTTCATTCTTTACTATGATAGTAACAGTAATATGGAGACATACTCCACTATTCGTTAAAGTTCTGTATTGGTCTGTATCAGTGCATTAAAAGGAAATAGGGAGGTAGACTGAGCCTTTGCAGAGCACTAAGACATTAATGTGTTTGTATTAAATAATGTTGTCGGGGGGCCTTACTATCAAAAATCTACTATATCCAATGAGCCCCCTATTAAAGGTTGGAGACTAAAAACTGAAATACTTAATTACTTGACTCCTTATTCTTGTGTACATTTGGTCTGTTGTTTTTCATGGTTCAGGCCCTTCAGTTGCATTTCAAATCTCAATGTAAATCTCAATGATAAAACAACATTATAACTAATAGTGTGCTTCCAGCGTTGTAGCAACAGTGAGGGGAAGGTCCTTTCCGGTTTCCACATTATTTGCCTAATGCATAAAACAATGTCCATAAGGAAATGGTTTTCCCAGTTTGGCGGTGTGAAAGAACTTGGCTGACCCTGACCTCAACCCCGTCCAACTCCTTTGGGATGAACTGGAATGCAAGCTGTGAGCCCGACCTCGTCACCCTGCAACATCAGTGCCCGACCCCAATAAGTCCCTGCAGCCAGGTCCAGAAGAGTGGGGGCTGTTACAGCAGCACATTAATGCATATAGTTTAAGAATGAGATGTTCAGCAATCTCATGTGGATATAACGTTTGGGTGTCCACATACTTTTGGCCATAAAGTGTGGTTCTTTTTGTGCCTGGAAAATGTAGCTGTATCAAAGAATCCTCTTAAAAAAAAAAAAAAAAAAACACGAAAGCACAAAGCAAGTGCAAAATGTAGTAAAATAATGAGTGGAATAAAAGGTCAAATATGTCATCTGCTTTCTCACCTCGACTTTCACATGAAGTCTAACAACTGTCGCCCTCTGCTGCTCTAATGCTAAATATCACTCATGCACTGAGGAGAATGTGATACAATGGAGAAATCCCGAGCAGCGAAATAAAAATGGGGAATATTGTAATCAAAAGTGGAACATTTGCATTGTTTTTGATTTTTGGGGTTTCAAATCATCTTTGTTTACTCTCAATGTAAACCAAATACATCATTAATAGCAAATCTAATTAAAGACGCTGCAGAATATTTTATTTAGCAAAAATCTGATCCTAAAACAGAATCATATGAAACAATCAATACAGTAGCTTTTTTCCACAGTTTAACGTGGTCATATATAGACATATATCTACATATATAGTTTCTATTTGTTTAAACAACAATTTATGATACTGTTACTTGCACAGTAAAATATTCAAACCCAAGAAGCTTTGCTTTTATGACTCCATCATCATCAAATTTAAATACTTTAAGGGTTTTGTACATTATTGTTTTTACCCAACGCCTATTCTTTATATTTGGTCAAATCAGAGATCTGAAGTGGTATTCAATAATGTCCTCAGATGGTACAACTGGGGGCCAGCGATCGAAGAAAGCACGTGAATGTGTTATTTACTGATTTGTACGCAAGAGGGCGTGAGTACTTCACTCGCGATCAGCATTACACCTGTTTTATCTGAACTCCCTGGGGGCCCACAGGACTAAAGCATCACATATACGTTTCCAATCTGACGAGCTGTTAAAGACTGCTTCCCTCTCAAGACCCAAACAGATCTCCTACATTACATGCGCGAAGGCAACCCACATGAACGTAAAGGATCAAAGGGGGGAAAGAATTTACCTCAGGTGAAGTGAAATGGGCACATGGCCTGGGTTAAGTACCTCTGGAATGGCCCTCATGCATCATTATCCAGCTGAACAGGTTTGACTCACAGCTCAGAGTTGGGGAACCGAAACAGGAAAATGCGCATTACATGCGTTTGAAATGCAGATTACTGAGAGAGGAGAGAAGATCTGAGGTTCTTACCTTCCCTGCAGACTGCACGATGAGGGTCTTTGAGCCACCGACAACGACGTCGTCCATCATGGAATAGAGCTCATTTTTCTCTCCATGACATGTGCTCGTTTTGGAGAATCCATTTTCACCTAAAGAAAATCGATATTATTATAGAAATTCAGATAAAAGTCTTGGGCATAATACGCAAAGAAACCTTTATACATGACATAGAGCCCTTCATTGTTTGGAGGAGAAACGATCTGCGTAATGGTTTTTCTTTTTTTGGTGAGGGAGCTTTAGGCGCTCACAGGGCGCGTCGTGAGCGCACTGATGAGGGGGGCTGGAGGGGATGTGAGGTATAATTTCATGATAAAGTCCTCTGAATGATAAAAAAAAATGCTACATTCGGTGTTCATTTCGATTTTTGAATGAATGTTTTACCTGATATGTTTATATTTGTGACAAATCTGACTGGAGAGAGGTGACGCACGTCTGTGCTGTTATAAATAAACACTATGTGGTTTGATAAATTCGCTCCCTTCAAATCTCTATTAATATAACAGATTCTGAATCATATTTATAATCCTAACATTAAGGGTGTATTTCACACCACAGCTGTGTGTGTGCAGCACATCAGTTTATGATCTGAGATACGGTTGTAGCAAAAATAAAAAATGGTGATGATGGTTACATCAACTTGTCGTATTCAAACACCAAAAAGACAAAACACCACAGCAGTTCTCCGATCGTCTTACCTCAAGTTTGGATCCTTTAACATTAACAGCTGAAGCGCATAATGGGGATGAAGACACATTTGCACCAAGTGCGCAAAAGCTCTCTCTCAGGAAGAAATCCGATGAAAATGTGTGAGGAATAAAACACAGAAAACAATATTTAAATTTAGTTCCGTATTGTTGAGAAGAGACAGGGTCGTCCTTTCATGGTGAAATGAAGACTGAGAAGAAAATGGAACCGACCACATATTTCACCTCGGTTTGCGCTCTGTCTCTCCGTTTGTTTGTCTGTCTGTTTCTCTCTCTCTCTCTCTCTCTCCTCTCTCTCCTTCTCTCTCTCTCCTTTGCAGATATTGTGTGCGCATCTCTTTTTCCTCTCTGGATCACGTTCTTGGACCCCTCCTCGGCTCCACAGTGGATGAGAGAACCGTGGGAATTTTCTCAAACTTGAAGAAAAAAAAAAAAACTTGTTTGCAGCTGTTGGGAGATCATCAGGCGTGAAGGAGCAGCAGAGTCATTTCATTCAGGTATGGAGAAAAACGCTGTTATTACAGGAATGTGGCGTCTTTATCCTCCACCAGAAAGGGTAAATATGCTGTAAGGTGTGTCCGATGTTCTCAGGGGATTTGTGCGTAAAAAGGGCTTCCGTTGCGCATTTCTTTTTGGGTGCGCATGACAGTTAAACATGGTGCAGTTTGGACAAGACAAGCTTTTTCTTCATCTATTTACTTTAAGGATCCTTTTTGGTCTTAAACTCTTTATTTTTTTCATTATGTATCTCTCAGCCTTCTTCACTATAAAGAAGAGAGAAAAAAGCATTTTCACTTTCAGATACGAATTAGACAAAACAAATTTAATTGTCGATGTTCATTTGTCGAGCTGTTGGGTGACGCAGCATCTGGGGTCCATCCACAGGCAGACATCTGAACAGAGAGGACGAGGTAATTTATGTATGTCAGGTTGCAAGCAAGGATGAAAGGGGATTTTTAAATATGGTTTGGCCTTGGTCTGCTCTGCTCTGAAATGAGTCATATACAGACCCAAGGGCATCTGTGTCATTTTCTCATCCAAGTATCTCAGGCCCCCATTTTGTTTATATGACATCATTACCTGCATCCTTTTGAGTGGGTGGATTCACAAAAGATTGAATATAATCACAGTTTAAAAGGGTCAAAGTAAAGATTTCTTTTTTTTAAATCCTGCGTTTGAGCCTGACATCATATTTACCTTCATATTTATCTCCTGAAATAACAAAATGGAGAATTTGACATTTGACCAACTTAAATTTGGTATCTTGTCTTCTCTGCTAAAAGATTTTTCTGGGGTTTCAAATAATAATTATTTGCATTATCAATTAATCTGTTTTGTCTATGAAATGTCAAAACAATAGTGAAAATGCCAATTACAAGTTTTTTTAACCTATAGTTTGTCTGCCTCAAATGTCTTGTTTTGTTAACACAGATATATTTAGTTTATGAGACAAAGAAAAGCAGCAAATCCTCACATTGGAGAAGCAGCAAGCAGAAAGCGTTTGGTATTTTTGTTTGAAAAACAACAAGACAATTATTCCATTATCAAAACAGTTGTAGTGAAAGATGAGTTTAGTTTATGCACAAATGTATTTTACAACCTTGTAGGGGAAAGCGTTGTCTTGTGTTGATACTAGTATGTCCTAAAAGAGACCAAGATTGTTTGAAAAGCATTTATCTTATGTTCTATTTAGTAATTAACTATGGTAAGTTGCTCAAGACATGCTGGTGCCGTGGACTTCATTAGTTTATGTTTTAGACTAGTCGTTCCCAACCTGAGAGGGTTTGGTAAGGTACATTTGAGGGGGCATAAAATGATTAACAGGATAGTAAAAAAAAACATTGTTCTGCTACACAAATATAGTATGTTAAGTATAGTTTTGGCATTTTATCTAATCTGCTTTTTTTTCTGAAGTAGATGTACCTCTTCTGACCTATATCAGTAAACCAATTACGTCATTGCTTCATTTTAAGGGTTCACAATCCAAAAAGGTTGAGAACCTCTGTAAACAAGTCTATTTCATAAATATTTTAACAGAATTAAAGACTACAACCCATTTTGACAGGCACTCCATATATTTACCCCTAAGATTTATTTATACACGTCACCATATTTTGTCCCTCTCTGTCACAGAACATGACCAGTTCATTGGAGAGGGTTGTGGCCCAGAAGAAGGAGGCCATCGAGGCAGTGATGGATATGTTTGAGAAAGGGGCCGAGGTGTTGGCCAGCGCTGTAGGTGAGCTCTTCCCCCTCTGTGAGGCCGCCGCACCGGTTCTCCGACTGGCCTTAGACAACGTCCAGAGCAAAGAGGTCTTCTATGTCAAAGAGCAGTTTCTGACGGTGAGGAACAAGCTTGACGTGCTCTCCACCCAACTGGAAGACATCGACTGCGAGATCAAGAAAGGGAGACTGGATTCCCAGTACTTCTCAGTGGAGGAGAACATTCGGAACCAGTTTCGGAAATATATGGATATCTTGGAGGCGAAACAGCAGTTCAAGGACGTGAAGACCAGACTTTTTCTGGAGCACTTTTCAAAAACTGGAGGAGAGAAGAACCTGTTTGTGCTGTATGATGCTTTGATGGGGACAAACACCTTTGGAGAGTCGGTTTTAGAGTTGGTCGAGAGGTAAATTGTTCAGCATATTTATATTCCTGAATTCATTGCAGCTCTCAGGTCTTTGACACCATTCTCATAAATGCAAATGGTTCCTCTGTTTTGCAGGTATGTAGCAAGGAACCGCCGTCTCCTGGAAGATTTCTGTGTCCGGATGAAGGAGCTCTTCTGTTTGGGCCTGATTGCTCTGCTGGGCCACTGCGCCTTAACCCAGGGCCAAGAAGAAGAAGAGGACAAAATCCAAGAATGGAGCAGCAAAATTGAAGAAGTAGAGTCCAGGATGAAGACGACCATTGAGTCTTGTACTGCTGCCTTCCCAGAGCAAGCAAAATTAGATGCCCAGCGCCTCCTGCACGAAAAAGGAAGAAGAGAACCTGCAAGATACAACTCAGCAGCTTCTTGAGTTCTTGGTGAAAAAGTATGATTGGGTCCGCTGGTCAGTGCGGCTAATCAACCATTCAGGGAGCACCTACCGGAACTGGCGAGCAGGGGAGCACTTTCATCACGTGGCGGGACAGAACTGGTTCGAGGTGCTCCAGGTGAACAACATAAACCTGGTGGTGTCGTACAGCACCAAACCCAAGCCGGTGCCCCGTGACTTCATCCGGCAGGTGATGGATGGCCAAGGGAAGAAGGGAAATGCCCCGGCAGTGGTGGAGGTGCTGGAGAAGCAGCTGTGTGGGTTTGTTGTTCACGCCGTCAGTCGCCACAAGGAGTCTGCAGCTGCGTGGAGCTTTCCGGAAGAGTGTCACTACTGGGAGAGACACAAAAATGTGGCGGTGTGTGTGCACTCGGAGTAAAGCTGACAGATGTTTAAGATGTAGGATTTTAAAGCAGTATTTGAATTGAGATACTATAAATATGTGTTGCTTGTCACTCTGCAAGACTGAGCTGAGAATATCAGTATGTAAGTTTATCATAAAGAAATTATCATATTGAATGGCAGAAACTGGGGATGCACCTTTCTGATACACTTGATTATTAGTGAAATCAGGTATCAGCCAGATACCAAACCACATTAACAAGTCACTTTAATTATAAAATCAGATCATTCCAAGTTCAATTAAGTCACATACGACTGCCGACTGAATTCTGAGTACCATAGCAGTCCCTTGTGCACAATACTGTCTCAGTCATCAATATCTGTCCGCAGTTATTATTCACTCTAGTCACACAAATCGTATTTTTACATTATTTTCTGTTCTGCTCCTTTATTTTTTGCGGTGAGCTTATGTAACTACATACAACGCAACTAATAGCTTCTACTTCCACTACATTACAAGCAAAAGTCCTGCCCTCAAAATTCCACTTAAGTAAAAGTACATAAGTATTAGCTAAATTTACTTAAAGTATCAAGAAGTAAAAGTACCTCTTCTGCAGAAAAATGGACCCTGTTATATATATTGTTAGATTGGGACTACTGATTGAGCTATACCTAAACAGAATTCTACTGTTGTAGCTGTTTGACTTTACTTTATACAGTGTTTGGTAGTTTAGTCCAAATCTGAGGGGTCATTCAATGGTTAACGTGGCAGGAACAAAGAAAATTCAAGTGTAACATTTATCTCTAAAAAGTAGTGGAGTAAAAATATGAAATGGCATAAAATGGAAATACTCAAGTAAAGTACAAATAGCTCAAAACTGCAAGTACATTACATTACTCAAGCAAATGTAGCTGATTACCTTGCACCACTTTAATGGCTATATCTTCATGTTACTTAACACACATACGGACTTCCCTTAGATCCATGCAGTGAGGTTTGAATTGGGGAAAAGTAGCACAGACACTAGATTGATACTCGCTATGAGACAATACTCTGAGTTTACATATCAGGATCAGGAGAGAAAGAGTCAGATCGGTGCATCCCTAACAGTAACATTTAATTTAATCACAAACACGTCAACTCTTTATACAGTAGATATTTGAATTATAGTCAATTGATGTAAGTTTATTTAATGTTGTTTAAATTATAACTGCTTGCATATTATGAACTGTTACTCTGTATTTGTATTAATTTATGAGTTACTAACCAGTTTATTTATACTACGCTAACACTAACACTAACTAGTGCTTTCCATTAACACTGTACTGTATATAATAATGGAGGATCTATGCTTTTACCTCAGCCGCATACAGTAATAATCCAGTCTCCCCATGAGAAATGGCTTCTGCACCTAACAGCTCTAAAAGAGATGGTTTTGCTGAGGCTGCATCTACTGAGCTCTGCTCCCATTTTGTCTCTGCTCAGCAGGCTGGCCTACATAACTCTGACGGGAGGGACAGAGGTTACTTTTTCAGGCGTGAAAAACCAGCGGCTTGGAGTTTGGCACTGGAGACTCGCGACAATGTGCCTTGTGTTCTAAACACATTCAAACCCCTCGAACCAAAACAACCAAACCCCACTGCTAACCAGTGCTGTGCCTAGAATTACATAATGGTTCCTGTCAGTTGCTTCAGGATGGATGAGAAGTGATTCTGCCTGCAAGATTTATTCGTTTGTGCATTTTATGTTTTGTTAATAAACGATAATTACTGTGTTATTTTCCCCATCGGCCAAATGTGATTTTTTTTTATGATTCATGTAAGATTTTTTGTCTTTGTGGCTGTAATTTGTCCTCGTCTGTTATGATCCCTGCTCATACTAAACACTTATTTGTTGCTTATTTCAAATACGCCACTGTGATTTTTGCCAGAAATTTTTAATCATTTCACTCCCTGTGCCAGGAAAGAGCTATCGATCACAATGCACCACTTTTATGAAATGGGGTAATTTAAGCCCATTGTGTTATACCAATTAGTCATATTGTAAAATGGGTATATCAAAATGCCATGTATTATTAAACCAAATCAGCTTCTACAATAAAATCAGCGCATGATC